TGTGTTTTAGTGATAACGACGGCTTAAAAATTAAGTAATATTTACAAATTATAACAAAAATACGTAGTCATATGCCTTCTGTTTTAGTTTAGTAATATCATTTTCGTTATCAATCCGAACTTGTGTAGATCCTTCCTTTTCTCGTAGGTATAGTTTTCCATATGACATCCAACAATACTTGAATCCATGGGATTTGGCGAAATCTAAAAAAAATAGTCTTCTTCTCTTAGGAGTTAAACCTTCTGAAATATATATTGGCTTTCGAGGGACATCTGCTATAAAGATCGAAGTATTTAATTTTTCGACTTTTTCTTCTAATGGGAGTTTTTAGGGTTCCGTAGTCAACTAGGAACCCTTATAGTTTCGCCATGTCTGTCTGTCCGTCTGTCCGTCCTCGCTTAATCTTTGTGACCGTTAGCACTAGAAAGCTAAAATTTGGTACCAATATGTGTATCAATCACGCGACAAAGTGGTAAAATAAAAATTGCAAAAAATGTTTTATTAGGGTAGCCCCCCTATATGTAAAGTGGGAAGTGATTTTTTTTTAATTTTAACCCTAACGTGTGATATATTGTTGGAAAGGTATTTAAAAATGAATAGGGGTTTATACTAAAATCATTTTTTGATAATGTCAAAAATTTCGGAAATAATGTCCCCCCCCCCTCTAACTTTTGAACCACAAGTGTAGAAAATATGAAAAAAATCTGAAAAGTAGAACTTTATAAGGACTTTCTAGGAAAATCATTTTGAACTTGGATGGAAACAACAGTACCCACTACCGGGAGCAGTTGCAGGAGCGCGGAGCGCTGCTGGAGCGCGAACATAATGGATTCCACCTTCAAACTCATAAGTGGGAACACTTATTGTGACGGACGGGAAACTACGGAACCCTACACTGAGCGTGGCCCGACACGCTCTTGGCCGGTTTTATTTTAGGTGATTCATTAAACTTTGTTTCATAAGTACTGGAAGTGAATTCTATCACTGTAGGTTTTAAGATGTTGGGTGTTGTGGAAGCACGGTATATGTCCTTAATATCAGAACTTTTTATGTCTAGGTAGCTTGCTACATATTTATTTATCTATGGTCTAGGTTCATTGTATTGCCTATTTTTCTTAACATATCGCATAATCCGTGTTTGGTCTCATTTTGCAGTTTAGGTATATTTCGTATCTCTATTTTTGTGTGTCTGTATTTCAATATTCTCTATTTTATTTTCAAGAGATGCTAGGTATAGTAGGCACTATACATAAAGAACTCGAAAAAATAAATAAATGAACTCGAAATTTTACACAATCAACATAAAATACTTTCGTTTTTTAGTTTAAAAGTTCAAAATATTTTTTAAATAAAACAATTTAAATAAGAGAACAGACTTTGGCATATTATGTCAATTTTAGTTTCCAAGACGACCATTAGTAGCGCTTCAAATTGGCACAAATATTTTGTATGGTATAGCCAGTCCAACGTACTTGTATATATAGAGGTCAGTGGTGTATATCCACCGATATACATGTACTACGCACTAGATTTGGCATTCCGAACACTCACTATGTTCAAATGAACTGTACTGCAATCCGTAACCTGTTATTGTATCTTCGATTTTGATATTCATGCAGTGCGGAGCGGCGCTAATACTCTAATAATTTTATATTAAACTAGCACGTATGCAAAATAAAAGAAAATAAAAAAATGTTCTCGATTAACAATACAATCTAAATAAATAATTATTTATTATGATAATTTTCGCGCGCTTATATCATCTGCGCATGCGCGAATCCTGTTTCCCGCACTACGAGCAATTAACCCTATAGAGACGTAATACAAGGCGACCCGAACCTGTCAACTCGTCAGTGACTAGTCACTGATATATTTCGGAACACTTTTGTTTCCTGCCAGTTGCGACCAAAAACTAGAACCGAAGAGACGGCTTACATTTAAAATATAAATTAAAATCAATTTACGGCATTATGTCTTGTTGTGCCGTTAAATGCTTCAAGCTCGCCCTTAATAACACACATTAATTTATACATAGTATTTAAAACTAAAAGTATAAAAACACTATAATTTTTATTTAATTTTTTTTAAACCAAAGTGCCATAAAAATTACTTTAAATTTATCGTTTTAAAATTTCGCACAAAAACGACGCTAGCCGCCATGCTGTTCAGCTTGAGGTACCAAGTCATTGTTAATATACAATTTTTTTGTATTTGTTGTTGTATAATAGACTTGTGTAAGTAATGCGATTGTTGCATTGCGCGTCATATAACCCGACCGCGTACTGTAGCATTACACATGACTCGACCAAATTAAGCATGACACATGACACTCAAACATGACGCGCGCGGGCCGTGCACCGCCGTGCTGTTCGGTGTTCATATTACATATTTTCAGTATTTTATATATGAAATCGATTTTTAAATACGCCAATATTCATAGACTTGGTCAATAATCAATATTGCAATCCATTTTATTGCCAGTCCTAAGCCTGGAATGCCCCTTTGATTAAATGATTCCGTAAATTGGGTTTAAGTATGAAGGAAAATCGACTTTATGTATAGCAAAAGAAAGTGTAGGTACATTCCGGCGTAGCAAGGGCGCATTTCGTTTGACGATTCTCATGTCACATCATGATAATATAACGCGGTATCTCATTGAAATGATGTATATCTTCTACTACCACGCGAGCATTTGATAACAATGGCCATCGCGTGTGGCACTAGCACGTCATTTCGCGTCATGTTTGGAGTCATGGTGTAACGCAACATTCCTCGGTACGAAATGTAATGTCATATTACATCACTTTAAAACGCGCTGTTTTGCGCATGACTATTGTATAAGCTAAAGTTTTTAATAGATATAGGTATAGGTAACATTGATGTTTTAACATTCCTCAACTTATCAGAATAAAAGTTTGCTACTACCAATCCTTGGTAGATTTTTGTACTTTCTGATTTTAGGGATCCGTCTTCCATGATGCCATTCTAACAAAAGACGGAATAAAAGTCAACAATCGTGATGCTTACTTGAAAATTTTCGCTTGCTTACTTTATCAGTGACGTCACGACCGAATTTACGGGTCAGTACACGCCGAGACGTGACGCGGCGCGCATTTTTAATATATAATAAGCACGCCCTATAGTGAGATTAAAATAAGTATAGTCTTAGGCTTTGGATTGTAGATGAAAGCACAAAAAATATAATTTTGTTCTATAAGTAAATAATGTTCTAAATTGCAGACTGTGATACACCACTGCGGTAAAACACCCGCGTATGCACACGCCGTGCGCAGACGCGGCGCACCGAGGAGACGATGTGCCGTAGAACCGCTGTATCAGTTAATAAACTGCCAAAGTGCTCCCTACGTACAACACTGACGACCATGAGGGGTGAATCAACCGTAGTTTTTCACGACAAAAAGTGTGTGTTCAAGAGGCCTTACAAACTAGGTTTAGTTGTAAGACTACTGAAAATTTTCTCGGGAGACTATTTGTTAGGACTACTGGGACCACACCGAAATTTCTAGTGCATAAATTCCAAAAAAATACGTAACGTCTCACTTTGAACACAACGAAGCCTATATTCGAAAAAAAAACAAATGAATATTTTTCCCATAACTAACCTGCAGTCATAGCGACGTTAAATGTCGGTTTTATTCGAAAACAAATTCGAATGCATGTCATTATAACTTTTAAATTCCAAACTCATCATCAGTCAGCAATCAGTCAGTAACAATTTCTTAGGAGAGTACAAAGTGGTAATGATTATCGCTGTGTACAATCAAATAAATTTAAATGAAACATAATTTAATCATTGGTAAAAATTTATTTTATTTGAATTTAATAATAAGTAATATAACGAATTGGACAGCATACGATACAAATATTACTTTTAAAAATTACAAAACAAAACATAAAAAAATTACAGAAGAAAAAACAAAACTCAGTTTTCCGAAGGGATAGTATACCCAACGAAACATCGAATCATCAGCAAGCGTAATACGAATAATTTTAGTTTTTAGATATTAAATATTGAGTGATAATTTGGACACTTACATTTTAATTTCCCAAAAATACGCTATGGTTTGTACAGAAATTTCGATTATAATATGCATCGTGTTCCTTTTTATAAGCTAACCATAAATTTATAATTAATATGCATCGTGTTCCTTTTTATAAGCTAACCATAAATTTATAATTAATATGTGTCGTGTTCCTTTTTATAAGCTAACCATAAATTTATAAATAATATGCATTGTGTTCCTTTTTATAAGCTAACCATAAATTTATAATTAATATGCATCGTGTTCCTTTTTATAAGCTAACCTAAAAGCTAAATAAATGAATTTCAGGCCATGGCACAGACAAACAAGATAAGAAATGATCTTATAAAGAAAACTATGATAATACTCTGCTCTGATGTGGATGTACTCGATAAAATAACGGTGATAAGGATTTTTTGTATTGAAAAATTAATATTTTACTCCTAAAATACTTAAAAATGAAATAATAAGAATAATTAGTCTTGAAAATAAAGAATACCGCAGCCATTCGTATGCAGAACTTGCAATAATTGTATATGTTGAAGTTTACACATATTACAGAAAGCATACTATATTAACATAAGCTTATTATATATTTTAATACATCTAGAAATTCACGTGTTATATTTTTTCGCTTTCGTTTGCGCTTATTAGAAAAAGTCGAAAAATTGTCTCTTAAAAATAAATGCGAGGAGTACTTACTTCGCGATGGATTCGGGAAGATTACAAAATATATTACGTTTTGGTCAAAACTATAGTATTTAAAAAAAGTTAAACAATAGATTAGAAGCTACAATTGTTAAGTGTTACAATTACAATACCTCAACACATTTTTTGTTCACTAAGTAAAATTTGTACTTAAGTTTTCATGTAAGTGAATATTGTAATTCTTATGACAAAAAATGACTGAAAACCGTGAACCATATAGATAAGTTGAAAACATGATAAACTTGTTAATTAATTAAAATCGAAATTAGCCATGTTATTGTACTGATCAGACCATGCTGCGAAACGAGCTCCATCAACTTCAGGTGCAAGAGTGTTAGTATTAAGCAGCGTATGAGATCGACCGCCTATGGCGGCGCCGCATTCAACACATTTGCTAACTTCCATGGCTCCACCACATTCTCCAATACAATAGAAATGACCATTTGGACATTTAAACCAATGGCCAGCTTTAAGACCAATTGCTTTAACTATTAAGTCACGCTCCTGTTTTGTTACTATGCCAGATACTTTCACTGTTTTTTGTAACCGCTGCAGTGACTGAAGCGCTCTCTCTTCATCGTAAATACGCCAACCGAGTATTAGTTCTCTGGCAGCGAGAAATGCTTGTTCTACTGCAGTATTAGATTTTGAAGCTTTAAAAGCATCATGACTCATTATCTTGCTTAGCTGACTGATAGCGTCCAAACGTTTTATCTCATTTCCAATGTCTTTTTGTTGTTGTTGACTTATTTTGTGTATGTTGCTATACAAATATTTAGATATCCTTTCAATGTGTTTAACCAGTTCCGATTCAAGTTCTGTTGAATTGGCCAGGCGATGCTTCTTGTAAATATCGGAAACCATTTCTAATATATCCAAATTAATAAATATCATGTCCAAGCTTAGCAGTGACATTTTTTTCAGTTTCTTTTGAGCTTCTTTGAGTTTTAAAAATGTTTTACGCCAGGGTGCATTCTCTGAAATTATAAAATAAAATTACAGTATATTTATTTTAATACACCTATCTTCCTCATCGCCAGACCGTAACAGTTCTCTACTGGTCAGGGCCATGTCTTTGTAGGGAGGGTTTGCCTTGATCGCCACACTTGACAAGCGGATCGACGAACTCAGATCCTGGCGCAAGGCTCCTCGTTACCGGTCACACAGACCGGCGTGATTATAATGCCATTCATCATAAGCCTTGAAATCTTTCCCTTAGTCGCCTTTTTAACAAGCTAAAATGGTGCGATAAACTCTACGGCCGCAGCAATGCAAAATGTATTTATACACGTATTACATTGCGAATGCCTTCGATCGGCTTTGGCACAAAGCGCTTCTTTCGAAGCTCCCTTCCTACGGGCTTCCCGAGAAATTGTGCAATTGGATCACCAGCTTTCTTGCAGATCGGAGCATCAAGGTCGTTGTAAACGGTGCAAGCTTCGATTACAAGCCTATTAATGCTGGTGTTCCACAAGGCTGCGTGCTATCGCCAACGCTGCTTCTTCTGCATATCAATGATATGTTGCAAACACTTAACATTCATTGCTATGCAGATGACAGCACTAGTGATGCTCTGTACACCGGCCGTACCAATATTTCTCGGGAAACCGTCTCCAAGTACCGGGACAAACTTGTGTCTGAAGTCGAGTCTTTGCTGAACACTAAATCTAGCCCAGTTTAACCCTCAGAAGACACAAGTTGTAGCGCTGTAACCGCTAAAAACCCCTTTGTCGTATCTCCTCAGTTTCAAAGCACTCCCCTTGATGCCTCAGCCAGTATCGGAATCCTCGGCGTCGACATATCGAGTGACGTGCACTTGGAAGAGAATGCCAAATTGGCCTCTAAAAAGCTTGGCGTGCTCAGTAGAGCGGGACAGTATTTCATGCCGGCACACCGCCTGCAACTTTACAAGGTGTGTGTGTGTGTGTGTGTGTGTGTGTGTGTGTGTGTGTGGTGCGCGTGTGTGTGTGTGCGTGTGTGTGTGTGTGTGTGTGTGTGTGTGTGTGTGTGTGTGTGGGGGGGGGGGGGGGGGGGGGGGGGGGGGGGGGGGGTGGGTGTGTGTGTGTGTGTGGGGGGGGGTGTGGGTGGGGGGCTGTGTGTGTGTGTAATTAACACAAGTAATTTTAACAAAAATATAAATAAATAGGCTTACCTATATTATGTTTTGCGGAAAATTCCTCTAGTTTTAGACACAATTCATTCTGTCTCATTTTTATTTTCCTTTTATTCCCGTAAACGCGTTCCTTTACTGGATTTATTTCAGTTACCATCATTTTGTACACCAGATCTTTGTAGCGATTGGTGTTAATTATCGGCTTGCGGCAGAAAGGACATTGGCGGACACCGATCGTTTCCTTGTCTCCCGTCATTAATGTATCCATATTTTCCAATTCCATCACGTGCTGACAGTCTTGTAACTGAATGAATCTGAAAAGATATTTTCAATGAAAAAATATGCGGAGGATGTGGCTTAACTTCCTACATACTAACTATATATAAATTAGGGTATTCTTTATCTACTTGTTTAATGAAATTAAGCATAGTCATAAGACATAGTCCTATTAATGAGGGCACAACGACAACTAGTATGCTACTACTATATAAATAGATGATAATTGTGAAGGAAATATATACAAAGGGTCAACCTCTCCATGTACGAAAGCCCATTTTTATATAGAAGAGATGGCAAACGAGCGTGCGGCTCACCTTATGGAAAGTGACTACCGCCGCCTATGAACAACTGCAACACCAGGGGAATTGCAGGTGGGTTGCCGGCCTTTTAAAAAGGAGTAAGCTCTTTTCTTCAAGGTCTCTAAGTCGTATCGGTCCGGAAAAATCGCCGGTGGCAAACGATTCCACAGAGGGGTCGTACGAGAAAGAAAACTACTAAGTAAAACGTATAGTGGTTAAAGTCGCGATGCGCGTTCATTAAATTTGGCGGATGGAAATAATCCGAACAATTCCTCAGAGCACTCCCCGTTATATATGAGATAGAAAATGCAAAGAGATGCCACATCACTTCGCGGCGCCAGCGTATTGAGTCGATCGGAGACGATTCGAGCCGCTCTGCGTTGGATAAGGTCAAATGGAAGGAGCTGGCACTGGGGAGCCCCGGTCCAGAGATGGGAACATTATTCCATGTGTGGCCGAGCCTTGTAAAGTTGCAGGCGGTGTGCCTGCATGAAATACGCGCTCTCCTGAGCACGCAAAGCGTGCCCCTCGCTGTGTCGACTCTTAGGATTCCGATACTGGCTGAGGCAACAAGGGGAGTGCCTTGAAATTGAGGAGATACGACAAAGGAATTATTTTTAGTAGTAAACGTGCAAGCTTGTCTTTTGGGGATTAAATTTGACTAGATTTAGTCGCCTCCAATCCGAGACTTGGTTCAACAATGTCTTGACCTCAAACACAAATTTTTTACGGTACTCGGTGACATTTTCCCGAGAAATATTGGTACGGTTTGTGTACCAAGACCAGTGCTATCGTCCGCACAGCAATGAACGTTACCGGTTTGCAATATATCATTGACATGCAGAAGGAACAGCTTTGGTGATAGCATGTAGCCTTGTGGAACACTAGCATTAATAGGCTTGTAATCGGAGCTTGCACCGTCTACAACGACCTTGATGCTCCGATCTGCAAGAAAGCTGGTGATTCAATCGCACAATTTCTCGTGAAGCCCATAGGAAGGGAGCTTCGAAAAAAGCGCTTTGTGCCAAACCCGACCGACTTGCCATCAGAGCATGAACCGTCAACCACGACCTTGATGCTCCGATCAGAGGAAACTGGTTATCCAATTGCACAATTTCTCAGGAAGCCCCTATGGGCTTCATAACAAGAAAAACATAAAAATCTTTACTATGTCCAAACTAACCGTCAAAGCCTCCCCTATAGACTCGATGGCCTGCGGCCATGTGTGTTTGATAAACAACAAAGAGACCAGCTGAGCGGACCTAGCGGAAACCTTACTGTTACTGTTACTAATCAGCTGCTCAGGAAAAGGCCTATATAAAACCGGTAAAGACCGCGACCGGGGGAGTATTGAATTGGCGATACAAGCGAAGATTGATTATTAGTGTGTTTTAAGATATACTTTTTAAGCTTGCCGGTGTTTACAGCCCGATCCGCTGAAGTGTAATCTTAGGCCTGATAACACTCCTGCTTACTGCGTAATGCAGTCTCTTACAGGAGCGATCAAACCAAGGTTGGGATCTGCCTCTGATGGATACCACAGATGATGTAATAATTAGTTCCATTCCCTGCCAATTGTTGTTATCCAAAACACGGCGGCAGCGTGCAGAACGCAACTGCGAAGGGAGCGTGAGTGGCACCACACCCCGGATCAGACCGTATCCGAGGAGCCAAGGAAGGCGTCGACGGAGACTTGATAACCGTCCAGATGAGAGGTCAGCAGTAGGTCCAACAGGGGAAGTGCATGATCCTCCACATCTGGAATCCGCGTAGGCGAAGTAACCAGCTGTGATGTGAACCAGACGTGAACCGAGCCATTGTTCGTGATGGGCATTAAAATCGCCGATGATCGCAATCTCTGCGGATGGATTCTGCTGAAGCAAGAAATCTGAAGCCGTTTGGACGTAATCAATAAGTCGGTCTGTTTCGACATTACCGCTATGGAACCTATAGAGGTACCCGTAGACGCGCGATGGTCGTCTCTGTCCACGCGAAGCTAAAGGGAGAACAGGTCAGAACCTTCAAGACTGCCGAGGCGTCGAGAACAGATTTCCTCTCTGACATATACGTAAACCGCATTCTGAGCACAAAGGAATGTTCCAATTTGTACGCCCGGGAGGAGAGAAAGTATCAGCCTATGAGGATACCTGAATCTCGGTCAGATAGAACAAGGCCGACTCCGCCATCTCCAGATGGTAGTGGACAGCGCTTAGTTTCGAGTGAAAGCCCGAAATCCGTGTTGCAGAAATCCACGGATCAGGGACGCCTTAGTCATTTTACTCAGTTTACCCCGAGCAGTTTTTGTCTTGACCTACTCTCAGGAGTGGAGAAGGCTTGTCGTGGGTACCCTCCTGGGATAGTCTCTTATTTAATTCTGCTACCATGTTGATGGGGACGAGGAGGGGGGGGGGGGAGAATAGGCCCTCCGGCCACCTGCACTCACCAGATGAAACTCAGAAGCAACGCTTCAACTTGGCGCTGGTATTCTGTGCTGCCGCATCACTGCTCTATCCAGCAGGGGCATTTACGAGTTTATGAATAAGATGTCAGAAGGATGTTGCTGCCCATCTCCTGGTTTATTTCTCCTTTGAGGTCTTTTACGCCACCAATAAGGTAGCGCACCTCGTGCATTCAAATTCCTGTACATTCAAGCGGCACGTTTTAAAATCGAACCTACACCCAACCGATCCCATGTACCATAAAATTCATAAAATAACTGAGACTGCTACGCCTGTAACTTACTTTACTATCGGTTATCGATTCTTCGCGCATTATGGTTGGCCCATAGCCACTTCAGCTTACTAATCCGTTAGGCTATGTCGGTCACTCTGGTTCTAATGCGGATATCCTCATTGCTAAATTTATCACGCAGAGAAACTACGAGTATAGTTCTCTCCATAGCTCGCAGAGCGACTTTGGGCTTCCTTATATGGCCAGCAGTGAACTCACCAGACAAAACACAGAAGCGGAGTTTCAACTTAACGTTGGTATTCTGTGAGGTTGTGGTACTACCTCGGTTTTGTTTTGTGGTACCACCACGTCTCAGACCCATAGATCATCACTGGCAACACGCACTAGGTGTACAAACTAGTTTTGAAGTTTTGAGGTATGCCTGACAAGATGTATCGTAATCTCCCGAACGCTGCCCAGCGGAGTTCAATACGTCAATTGACCTCTCGGTCGAAGCTGGACTTACCTAGTCGTATTATACGTCCCAGGTAAACATACTCGTCAACAACTTCGCGCTTAGTGCTCCCAACAACCATCGGCATAGGTGTGACATGCACATTACACATGACTTTTGTTTTGTCCATGTTCATCTTAAGATCTATCCGTTGGGAGACATTATTGAGGTCAATGTGCATAGTGCTTAAGTCCTCCAACGAATCTACCATAAAGACTATATCGTCGGCCAATTGAAGTTGAGTGATGTATTCGTGTCTGACTGACACTACAACAGTCGTGACTGACATTAGAACCGTATCCTTTCCAGTCCAGTAGCTTGAAAACGTCTTCAGATGCAGCGGTGAAGAGTTTTGGGGACATTACGTTACCCTGTCTTACACCTCTCTGCAGTTGGATAGGTTTCATACTTCCGTTCTGTACTCGGATAGCTATCGTAGCCCTTATTTACAAACACCTCAACACTTCGATATACCGACAGTCAACTTGGCACCACTGAAGAGACTGCAGCACCGCTCAAATTTCGACGGAATCAAAGACTTTCTCTTAGTCCTTATACGCAAGACAAAGTGGCAGATTGTACTCTTCAGACTTCTGTACTATTTGCCAAAGGGTATGTATGTGGTCTATGATGCTAACGCCTTTTCGGAAACTGGCTTGTTCGGGAGGCTGGAAATCGTCGAGTCTGCGTGCGAAACGATTCGTAATGACTCTCGAAAACAGCACGTAGAAGCGGCTCAAAAGAGAAATATAGTTCTTCACGAGAGCGTTGTCGCCTTTCTTGAAAAACAAGACCACCGCTCTTTTGCTCCACGCCTCTGGAGTAGACGGAATTGAAGAGCTTCTGAAGGACTTTAAGTATTGGTTTTCCACCCGCTTACAGAAGCTCCGCTGTAAATCCATCCTTACCCCGGGGACTTGCCGTTTTCAAGGTGCTGGAGAGCCATTCTAATCTCGCTCAGACTGACGTCCGGGATATCATCAGAATAGTGTCGGATAAGATTTATTACCAGGTACTAATTCTATAAGATATGTACCTATTTGTAACAGAATTAGTTGTGGATCGTTATTAGTGCCTTCAATTTATTTCTTCAATTTATTCGATCGTTACCTAATAGCGAAACCATCCTACGAAACACTTATGTCCATAATAAAGTGCAATTCAGGACAAAAACTGTGTCACAGTTGTGGATCGCGCGGGCGCCGGCTGGGTGAGCTGGCACGGTGTATATGCCACGCAGTGTTTTCTTTTAGGATAGCTTATCTGAAATAAACTTCAAATCATGTTACAAACGTCGATCACGCACGTAAATAATCACAGCGATTTCTTAGTCACATTGAATAAAGTCAATGTTAGATTATATAAGTGGTAGGGCCAGCTATATTGTGGTTGCAGCACGGAAGATAGGCTCGACCGCTCTCTAAGACTATCGGCGTAAAATAACAGCTCAATAAAGTTTCGTATATTGAGTGTAGAGAACACACATTCAGATACTACAGGTGGACTGAGTGCTCGTTTGTCAAACGTATTGTATAAGAAAAGCTTACTTGGCATCATCGTCGTAGTCGTCGCCGAGGAAGTCTTTGGGGAAGTCGTCTGGGCGGCAGACGTTGCAGATGTCGGGGCAGGGCTCGCCGCAGAGGCCGCGGCAGGCGTGTCCGCAGGGCAGAGCGCGCTCGCAGGCTGCGGAGCACGGCGCGACCGCGCACGGCTCGCCACAGCGCCGCGAGCACGCGCCGTGCTTGCACCGCCGCCCACACTCCTCCTGCTCACACACACACACACGTAAGTCCGCAGCGCACGGCTCACCGCAGCGTCGCTAGAATGCGCTGCGTGCGCGCACCGCCACCCAAACACACACACACACACACACACACACACACACACACACACACACGCACGCACGCACGCGCGCACGCGCGCACGCGCGCACACGCACACGCACACGCACACGCACACGCACACGCACACACGCACACGCACACGCACACACACACACGCACACACACACACACACACACACACACACACACACACACACACACACACACACACACACACACACACACACACACACACCACACCACACGGTGAGTGAGTTTTAGAAATATCCGTTGTTTAATTCATTTCTAATGTCATTAATATAGAATATAACCAATATTATAGAAAGAAACATTAACCCTTACGTTTCCCTAAGAAATTAACTTCTCTGCCACGTAATCAATCATATACTTACTTCACCTCATTCCCAAGGGGCCCCGGCCTGATGGCAAAAAAGAAAGATGGCCGCATTGTTAAAACTTGTAAGCGCCAAAATAATTGGTAATGTGGATATGGTTAATGGCTATTAGCACAAGGGGCTTGGATGTTGACCGATCGTGAACTGTCTTTTAGCAATTGCGATATTAAAGCTAATTTGAGTCAGCGTGTAAATGCTGACTGCGCGCGCTTTGATGTAAATGCACTGTACTTCCTACAGGCCAACGATAATCTATATATTATTACGTCAACAGAAAACTTTATATACTAGTAGCAATTCACAAAGTCGAGCGGGTTCCACTCGTGATTGAACATGTATATATGCACATTGCGATAGCGTGCGTACCTGTCGGAGCTAACTATATTCGCTTTTAGTTTCACGCACACTGACACGTACACAGATACGTGTACACCACAAGTAAGGCCCGCTAGACTTCGTGAATTGCACGAACCACGAGTATACCCTTTTTTAAGCATATAGTGCGCACGGAGGAGTGAGAGATTCAATATAGATAAAGTTTGGGTGGATGAAAGAAATGTTTTACTGCAATTAATTTTAAATATATTTTATTGAAGTAGGTATTTAAATTAAATAAATATATTGTTAATTATATAAACACATTATTGGAAATAGTACGATACTTAACAAATTTTAACATTTCTTTTATTGATAGAGTAATTTATACAGGGATATACAATTACGTCTACTCAATAATGAAATTAGTGTTGATCATTTCCTGGACATATTGCAGAATTTATAAATTAATTATTATTGTTTTGATCAAAGAAGTTTAATTCAGTTAAAATGCAATACGTAATATGTTACAATTAAGTTAGTGGTTATTAAAAATTAATCACTATGCATCAAAATAATACTAGTTTTTACGGAATTTATCGCGTATATTTAACTTTTTTAAATACCCGACGTTTCGAACGCTTTACAGCACTCATGGTCACGGGCGGGACTGAGATGTTCAACGTCCATATGTCATAGTTAACCGCGGTTACCATAGATTAGACCCGATTTCACCAAACTATTCTTAATTAGCCATTAACAAATGTTCTGTTAAAATTGACGTCGACGTCAAAAAGGTTTACGTTCTATAGAGGCATCATAACAAGGCGTTGCTAAATCAAACATCAAGTAGATATTATCTATGATCGAGTGAACAAAAACGACAAGTTTGACTTGTCATTCTCTCGCACTTCACTCTCCTTATTATGCAGGCAAATCAAAATGTCATGGTGCCCATACAAAATGTTCTGTAGACAGTGTAATTCTATGTTGGTCGTCTAAAACGTCATATGTTTTCGGTTTCGCGCTTGTAGATTTTCACAGAGTAAATTATATATACCTGGATTTTGTTCTGTGGTGGTTTATAATTCTTTCAATTAATAAGTTTTACTTAATTTGTGTTGTAATATGTCGAAAAAAAGTCGCGGCCCTAATTTCTGCGCCAGTGAAAAAGGAATTTTAATAGAACTTATCCTAAAATATAAAGATGTCGTAGAAAACAAAAAAACAGATGCTGTGACGATTGCTCATAAAAATGAGGGTTGGAAGGTGCTCACGGAAGAATTCAATTCCCTGAGCAGTTTCAATGTCCGAAATACGGACCAACTTAGAACGTGTTGGGATAACCTCAAAAGAACGACAAGGAAAGACAAAGCTGCCACAAAGGAGATTTTCTTAACAGGTATGATATATTTGTAACTTAATAACACGTTATACTTTCAAAAATTCTAGCGCAGTAATAATTTATTACCTTTATTTCGAATACCTAACTATTCTTGACTGTAAACTCTCACCTAAATTCATTCTGTGGTTTCCTCCTAGTCTGCGAACAGAAATGATTGTAGTGATGCCTAGTGACTACTTACGCTCCTTTTTAGTGTTTACACTGTTTCATAATCTATACTTTGCTATTTCTAGGTGGAGGCAGGCCCAATCATCCACCACCAGGGCCTTTACAAGAGCAAGTAGAAATATTACTTGGCCCAACATTAGATGGTCTTGCAAACGAATTTGATAGCGATGGTCAATTTCAAGAGTCTGTCACAGCATCTAATAAAGTGAAGGAAGATTCAGCAGAAATATTACCGACCATTGTATTATTAGATGCAGTACCTGGCTGTTCAACTGTGGTAATTATAAACATACTAGCCAGTTCTCCATGGCCTTTAATTAACGTATAATAGTGTATATTTTAACACAGAACATGTGCATAAAATCCATGTAAATGTTCTATAATAAATTACTTATATATATTATTTACTATATATATATATATTATAACACTTATTATAGCACATTTTCATGGATGAGTTTAACTACCAACTTAATTATAACAACTGAAACAAATTTAAAGTAGATTTTCAGATTAGCCCAAACAGACTTTGTTTTATGATATATAAAAATGTATTTTAATACGGATAGTTTTTATTTCTAATATATATATATATATTATTTTCAGATTGAGCAAGTTGGTTCCTCAGGACTGAATAGCTCTCAGGGTGATTCAGGGGAGTTAAATAAGGAAACATTTGATGGCTCAAGTCGTCGTGAAGTTCAGGTACCTATCTCATTATAAATATTCATCACTTTTTCACCGCACCCATTGAAGATAGCCTAGACTACAGATATCATGGATGGATGATGGGATATATTAATAAACCTACTTTTTGTTTTAGGATAAGGATAATATTTGGCATGGTTGGTCTCCAGCTGCACTTAAAACTAAAATGTCAGATGCACTAATTACAAAAAAAAGGGGAGCCCAACATGGCTTCACAGGAGAAGACCAAGGGCTTCAATAGCCGACAGTTTACTGACTAGCAAGTTAGAATTAGTCGAAATTTTGAAAAAAAAATGCACAAATTGAGGCTGAGAAAAAAAATTTATTGCTCGATGAGCAACTTAAACAAGAGAGAATTAAAACGGAACTGTTAGAATTACAGTTATCTTTGGCAAAAAATGTTAATAATGTAAATAAGAAATAAAAGGGAGGTTACACTATAAAATGACTTTTATTTATAATGATTGTAAATGCAAACTTCTGAAGTAATTATTAATAAGACTTCTGCGCACAGGATTTATGTCTCTGTTTATGTTATCACTATATCTGTGCTCTCTAATATGCCCTTGTTCTATTAAATCTTCCCAAGGAGCCGGTAGTTTTATTTCCGGATCATCAGATGGCAAATCTTCATTTGCTTTTATTAAGATGTTGTGCAACACAGCCGTAGCAACAATTATAGGAAGGCAATTTTTTAACTGTACTTGTATACCTAATGCAAGTACTGGGAATCGACGTTTCCATACTCCAAACAGGCGTTCAATGGGGTTCCTGCTTCTTATTTGAGATTCATTGTACAATCTCTCCTCTGGGGTTATTGGATTCTGCAGTGGCATCATAATGTATGGTCGGTTCATATAGCCACTGTCTGCTAAGAGAAAGGCATCACGGTATCGACCACTTTCAAATATAGTGCTTCTGTAGGATCCGTTCCAAATAGTTTGATCTTGGCTACTTCCTGGCCATCTCGCTACCAAATCTAAAATTTCTAAGTTAGCATTTCCTATTGCTTGTACATTTATAGACATGTATCCTTTCCTATTCCTAAAATGTTCTCCATTTTCCCCACCAGGAGAACGAATGCGTATATGTGTACAATCAAGAGCACCCAGTGCCTTAGGAAAGCGTGCTATGTTATAAAATTGTAATTGTGCTTTTTTTAATTCTTCTTCTGAGACGGGAAATTTTATAAACTGGCGACTGAGTGACGCTATAGCCGCAGTAACTCTATGTATAATTCTGTGAGAAGTGGACTTGCTCATTCCACAGTAATCACCCATAGTTATTTGTTGTGAACCAGTAGCATAATATCTCAAAGTTAAAAGAAGTTGGTTTATTGGCGAAATCGACTTGTTTCTGTAAGCAAACAAAATTTAAAGTTAGCTTCATCAATGCCCATGATACAAATTTTTTCTTCTTTTAGAAGGTTCGTGTGACATTCACGGTAGAGATGATGGAGTGGTCTTATTACTAGGGGGAAACAATGTGTGAGCTTTTAAACTATATTATAATTAGCATCCCAACATTTTAATACCTAATAATAAACACCTTACATAAGAAGTTGTTCTAGACAACAAAACAAGCATATTTTTAATAGGTACAATTCACGAAATAAGGTAATGTTAAAGTAGGTACTCACCGATTTGATGGATATTCAAGTTTATCTTCAATCATATGCAAAACATCCATACAAGATCCTTTCGTCAAACGAAACCTTGTCGTAAAATCTACATCGTCATATTCTTCAAAATAATCACGTCGCTCTTTATATGTTTTAGGACGTCGAACAATATTATCTAAACGTTCTAAATTTTCTAAAATATCATCATTTTCGTGTTCAAAAATAAAATTATACGCCGCTTCCATTTTATTTGACCAACTGACAACTAATTTGACAGCCGTTAAAAGCATTAACGGACCTTTGAAGCAGTGATTAAGTTTAACGCCTTGTTAAGAGAATTAACCATTCGTTAGTACGTGGTGAAACACTCACTACGCCTAACGGGCTGTTATTTATTTAATTGGACGTTAAAACTAACAAACAGCGTATGGTGAAACTAGCTCTAAAATTTAACTTTTAATCCGATCTATACAGTATGAACTTATGGTATCTTGAAGTCTTGCAGTTGTATGCTTGGGTTGGGATTTAATTTTATTTATTATAGGATCCCAAGCAGATGGTAGCACCCAGCCATCTTCTCTATTGAAATTAGGATGATTTTTGATTTCAATAGCCTCGCGAATCATCCTTGGAAGGAATCGGTGTTCGTTAGCGAGGATTTGCGGTCTATCAAATCTGATGTAGTGACGGGGGCGATTCTGTACGTGTTCACAGACTGCAGACTTCCCGGAGCGTCGATTCTTCACATCAGCTATATGTTCTTTAACGCGGGTTTTTATTGATCTTTTAGTTTGTCCTATGTAGGAGAGACCACATTCACAATCAAGCTTGTACACTCCTGCATCTTGCAAAGGGACATTACACTTGACTGATGGTAAAAACTGACCAATCTTCTTCAGCAGCTTGAAGTATGTTTTGATGGAAGCGCGCTTCAAGATGTAGCCAATCTTGTAAGTGACTCCTCTAACATATGGCAGTACAGCAGGTACACGCTCGACTGTGGCCGGCTTCACTCGTTCACTGTGACGTAGGCGCGGGACTCGAAGCTTGTTGTCATGCAAAACTTGCTTGACATGGTGGAGCTCGGCAGCCAGGTGTTTACCCTCCCTTATCTTACCTTATAATGATAAGGGAAACGCCACGGTAGTCATGGATACGTCAGATTATAATTCTAAAATACAAGAACTTTTGTCGGATGTAAGTACTTATAAAAAGGTTAAAAACGACCCAACAAATAGCACACTAAAAACAACTAGTGACCTCATAAAGAAACACTCCGAAAAATTAAATCTGGACGTAAAATGGATAATACCTACGTGCGCCAAATCACTAAAATTGTATGGGTTACCAAAAATACACAAGCCCAATGCTCCATTACGTCCGATTGACTGAACACTTAGCGAAAATACTCTCGTCGCTCAGGGGACATACAAGAGCACACATAAAGGATTCTTACCATTTTGTCAGCGAGATTAAAGACCTACATCTGGCAGACAATTAAACTATGGTCAGTTTTGATGTGCAGTCATTGTTTACATGCTTACCTGTTGAAGACTGCATCTCAATTGTAACTAGAAGGCTGGAAGAAAACAACATGCCCGTAGAATATGCAGTATTTTAATTTTAACGTGGTAGAGCCATGCTGCAGTTATATTAGTAGTATAGTTGTAGCACGAATGGGTCGGCTCGACCGGGGAAGGACCACGCTCTCACAGAATACCAGCGTGAAATAGTAGCTTAATGCTGCTGTATTTCGTATGGTGAGTGTAGAGAACCGGAGACCCTTTTTACTGGAAATGAGGCATTCTCCTCACGGGTGACAACGCATCTGCATTTTGATTTGTAATGGAAGATAGATAAATCTAGGGTAAATCTTTGTTTCAGAGAGCACGAGGGATCTGTGATAGTAAACACCTGGCTGCCGAGCTCCACCAAATTTTTTTTTACCAATAAAAAGGGTCTCCTGTTCTTTAAAGTCACCATTCGAAACACCAAAACATTATTTTGCAGTTTAACGATTGTATTTTGTGAGAGATTGATCTTACCCCGGTCAAGCCGACCAATTCGTGTTGCAGCTTTACCGCTTAAAAAAAATTAAGCAACTTAAACACTACCCGCTTTTTTAATTAAATTGAATCCTGCTGCTAACTTTGACGTTGCTTGAGATGATTTTCGAATTTGTCAGTTCAATAATGATAATCATTAAATAATTGCTAAGCATAACATCTTAGCAACGAAATATAAAGTAACAAACTTCGTCCTACTGTTGGGCCCAATCCTCTTCTCTTTCTGAGATGGTTATGGAACAATTAATTTGGCACTCTGCTGTACGATGTGTTAAAGATTTAACAGTTTCTTTAATGATGAATATTTAATAAATCGTTTTAAAACTATTATTTAAAGCATAATACAAAAGTATTAAAACTACTTTCTCAAACTTTAGTAAGTACGTGTTCTGAACAAAGATGTTACGATGTTTTAGATAAGGAGCTTGCGAGCTTCTAAAATAAAGTAGAAAGATGTGTGCGTGAATACGAATCAAGGATTTGGTTACTTGAAGTGTAACTAAGCAGTGCTCCGTTTATCCTTGTTCGTTGATCTGAACATGAAAGTTTACTGTTTTGTTAATACTAGTGGTCATTCAATGGTCAAAAATTCGGTCTTTAAGTTTGTAAAATATAATTTTTTTTCCAAACAACTCATAAATTTAAATGTATGTGTATGTATGTGCACTTATTTATGTATAATTGTCGCACCTGCCAACAATTGTCCGAAGCACCCAGGGTTGACTGGCAGAGAATGCCACATGGCATTAAGTCCGCCCTATGTACCCTTTAGCTTAAGGTGTTACATGTAAGTTTTTAAATAAATAAATAAACGAAACTTATAAACACAAAAATATAAAAATCAAAATGAACACTTAAGAAAACTACAGTTACCTGACAAGGCACACAACGTTCGCCACACAGCTTGTTGCAACGCGAGTGTACACATTCAACTTCGCATTGCAATTTGCACGGAGGACACACTTGATTGCAGGGCTCTTTACATCTACAACAGATTTCATATTTAGGGAAACCATATCAAAATGTTTTGTTTATCTTTAACTTTAATTTATTTTTAGACTTCGAAAAAAGTAGTTCTAATTAGATTGCGTGTTTTTAAACAAGTAACTAAATGAGTATCGAACTTCTTTTGGTCGTTTATAAATTACCATAATTGTAATATTAAGTAACCGCTAGTAAAAATCAGATTGGTAGTTAAAAATATCAGATTAAACAGACGTGATTAAGTTTGCTACCACTACCTACTTCGGTATAATCTTAAGGCACTTTTTGCAAGATCATGGTTTACTGTATTATATAGAATCTTTCACATGTTTACTGCTGTTTGAGCTTATTGACTTAAAAACTCAGCAGTGGACTTGTGAAGGGATGCAATGATGATGAGATTCGAAATCAGTTTGTAAGATATCAAGCAAAGCATCTGCTATCAATTCCAATTTTAAAATTAAATTATTCGTTCAGCATATGATTTTGATCCTCGTCTTAGTACCACAGAAATTCTAAGGGTGGTGAAAGAATATAGATACATAAAATGTGGTAATGTAAAAACATGTCTTGGCATGTTTTGTGAGAAGGAATTAATAAGTTCAGTGATGTAATAGGAATTTGTAAAACAAGTAAGACATTTCATCAGATATTTCTAACATAATTAACCCTTCAATCCCCATAAAATTCCCATGCAGTCGCATGCTTCCGTCAAATCCCGAGCGATTGCATGCGACCGCACCCACCCACAGCACTTTAAACCATTAAAACCTGTATTTAGAGACTACTTTTCTATGAAGAAGTTCGGCATTATAGAATTAATACAAAATTATCTATCGTGTGGTCTAAACAAATCAATTACTCTATGGATTTTTATTTTTAATCTACCGTAAAATTGCGCCATTTTCGTATGGTCGGCAAATGTCGTAAATTGACAGTAGAATAAAAATAAAAATACACAGAGCAACTGACTTGTTTGGACCACAGGATAGAAATTTTCGTATAAATTATATAATGCTAATCTTCTTCATAGAAAAGAAGTCTCTAAATATAAGTACTATGGGTTAAAGTGACGTGGGTGGGTGCGATCCTTCGATCAACAATACCAACTAGATAACGGGTCACGTACAAAACCATAGCTAAATACTGTCCGCATGAATATAAACTATGAAAAGGCATAAATTAAATAACATTTAGCGTGAAATCAACCTTAAGGTATAAAAAATAAAGTTCTTTTTCCAGTTATTGCCTTGCGAGCTACACTCTCACGTGCAAGAGCTCACGTCTCATGCGCGCTCTTATTTACGTAGATGGAATTCTTGCGCCGACCCGACATCTAGTTGGTATTGTTGATCGAAGGTGCGGTCGGATCCGACCGCTTGAATTTTGACGGAACATCGCCTTGATCGGATCCGACCGTGTGCCCATTAAAAAGTTAATAAGAAAAAGAAGATTAATTATTTCAAATACTCAAGGTTGAACCAGAAAACATCGTTTACAGTGTGAGAAGTATTGTTATCTAATCCTATTCTACCTGACGGTTACAATCTTTGCAATATAAGTTGTTACAATCAAAATAATACTTACTGATGTCCACAAACGTTCATTTGATGACAAATCTGCTTGCAAGGAACGTGGAGGCGGCCCTGGAGACATTCGGAGCATGTGCCCTGACATAAGTGACCGCAGGCTAGTATTTCCGTGCACGGTGCGTCGCAGTTACTCAAGTAAACGTCTTCTGGTATACCTTTTGTAATACACACAATTTTTATTAAGCAAATTCTTATTATGTTGATTTTTATTAAATAACGTAGTAATATGTTTTGTAAATAAAAAGTTACCTAAAGGTTTTAAAAATGTTCTAAAATACAAACATAAAAACGCAAGTTTAGTTTTACCTCTACAGAGCTAGTCCTGATTACCAATCTGAGTTGGTTGCAATATTCATGTTCACTTTACTATTAAAAATCTTATGAACGCAGCAAAATATTTAAAAAATTATATGGTCGTTGTATATAATATGTGTTATTGTGCATCTGGGGTAACTGTTTACAAAATCATATTCTACAACCTTTTAACATCGTTGGGTTCCGTAGACAAACGACAAGGAACCCTTATAGTTTCGCTGTACGTTCTTTACAACTTACTATATATATATATATATATATAGGGTAAGACCGTAAAATTCAAATTTCCGGTGAATTATGCTATATTTTTTGAAAGCTAGCAATATGGTACAAGACTCCATTTTATTCTGCCCCAACCCCAAGTTTCAGCCAGTCGCTCCGAAAAGTAGGGCGTGTGCTGCGCAGTATTTTATAAAGCAAGGTAATTTTTGAATTTTTTCGTCTGTCCGGTCTTTCCCTATCAATTTATTTGCGATTTTTAGCGACGTCCGGTCTTTCCCTTGATGGCCAATTCTTCATCATGTAAATAAAAAATTATGTCTTATCTTGGCACACGTTTTAAGCAGAAACTGTTGAGTTTTGAAAAGTAAAAGCTTCTTATAGCTAAATTACGTGTAACCATTAACGATTTGCGCCATGTTTCAGAAATCTGACGTATATGGATGTCGAGAAAATAAAGTTTTTGCCAGATTCTTTTAACGAGTCGAAAATCCGTCCGGTATTGCTCCAACGCACCTTATATATATATATATATATATATATATATATATATATATATATATATATATATATACATGTGTGTGTGTATATATAAAGTTGTAAAGTACGGACATAGCTATAAGGTGCGTTGGGGTAATACCGGACGGATTTCCGACTAGTTAAAAGAGTCTGGCAAAAACTGACTCTGACATACCACTTTCGCTTATTTTACTGACATTACAGATTGTCACCAAAGGTTGAAGTTTTAGTGTCATAACCTTATAATATTACTTATCTTAGTATACACCATATAATAGAACAGAATATGATTTATGTCCACCAATTTTTTAAAACAAGTTTAGGATGACGTAAAGTGTGTAGGATGATGTAAAGTAAAAAAAGTAAAGTTACAGCCTATATATGTCCCACTGCTGGGCACAGGCTTCCTCTCATTTCTGAGACGGTATTAGGGCAAGGAAGTTTTCGCCGTGCGAAAAATACATGGTGACAGTCAATATTGATAAGGCAGACGGATTAGTGAATGGATCTACAGAAAATTGACTGCAATTGAATTTTAAGGCTGCAATTCAAATTACTACTGATGAGAGGAGACCGTTAAGAATATGGTTATTATTTTGATGATATAAGTATCACTCGTCACATGACAAGATTAAGAAATAATTGGACTCCAATCGACCAAGTTACGTATACTGTCAAAAGGTCTTCCAATTTACAAGTTCGTCGTAGTCACTGGTTCGAGCTGAAGCTGTCACATTACACAAAAGCCAGGGGCTACATTAGACAAAGTAGTTGTGAATATAAAACTCGGTATTTCGAGTCAATGTTGTAGATCGCTTACTCACGTGCCATTTGAGTTCAAGGTTTGTTCATAGTAACTGACTCCATTCATCCTCGTCGTCCACCATGTGACCACAATTCCGTTGTAATGAAGAAAATGAGAAAACTCAGACTAATCCCTCAAATACCCATATACCGATTACTAAAAGAGCCCCGAAATTCCTCCCAAATTATGTTCCACAATGTACAATCACTACGCAAGCATTTGCAGAATACAGTCAGCGATCCACAGATTTGCCTCTGATATTTACTTAGTCGTAGAAACATGGAGCTGCTTAGAAGATTCCTTCGATATAATAAATTTTAAGGAAGTAATTAGGACAAATGGCCCTAAACAGTCTAGTGCAAACCCCGGTTTTGATGTACGAGCGTTAGGGTGGAGCGGCGTTGTATGAAAAAACAATTTTTTTTCTTATTTTAAATTCTTATAGCACGGGATTAGTGCCCTATGATTAAAGTCAATTTACCTTTTTCAGCTGAATTGAATAACATCTTCTGCCTCCGCAGGGGCAGTTTATTGTTTTATCAACCATTTACCAAGTTTAATGTTTTATCGAAAAAGTTTAGTATGTTTGGGCTAAATAAATAATAAATAAGAGTTAACTAAACCTTCCCTTCGTAATATTTCGACGCACATGTTCAGTGGATTGTAACGCTGAGAACAGATAAGGCTTTTACCTACGCTAGGCTTATTTCTAAATAAAGACATATCTTGAATTTTTTTGCAGAATAATGGAAATACTAAAAACATCATATTGATTAGGAAGCATGAACTTAAGGAAAGCATTGATTCTTTTATTTATTGATTACGATTGATTTTTTAAAACTCACCGGTTGTTGAAGCACGGTAAACATTACATGGTAATTGAACTTTATGACCGCATGGCGAGTCAAAATTGCTTCTTATTTTCCATCTGCATGACGTTAAGTCGCATTCGTCTTTACACATGCCTGCGCACGGATGTCCGCACGACAATGTACGGCTACATTTCTGCGTGCACAGCTCACGAGTTGGAGTTACATCACATTCAATTTCAATAGTGTGCTGACAACCAGGTATAGATTTTGTAATCTACAAATTTAGATAGTTGACTCTCAGTTAAATTTATAAAAAAGTATCTTCAATGCGTATTTGTTAGTGGTGCACATTAAAAGTAATTTAAACTTACCTTTACTTTACAATCTCCGCAATTTTCGGAACATTTTTTCTTACAGAAGTGACCACAGGGCAACGAACGTGAACATTTTTTGAGACATGGGGTTTCGTTTACGTCTTTGTTGCAAGGGACACGTTCCGAATGTTTGCAATTCGATCGCTTTTTAATCACCTATAATTAGATAAGTAACACTGATTAAGATCCCCAATAAATCATTATTTTAGTTATTACAAGGCTTGTAATAATGTGTATCGAAGTGCCAACGGCTTTCCTAGGCACGGATGTGAAATAACGCCAACCTCTTTACTCTAGGTTTCTGAGAATTTTTTTAAATGAAAAGTCAAATATCTTTATATAATTTTGGCCCGATCTAGGATTCGAACGTGATCATGTGGTCCTGCCACGTGAGACAGTCCACACCAAAACATTTAATTGACAATACATGAACTACATTGTTGTTTAATAACATTCAGAAGTTGATTAAATCGTTAAGTTTTTGACCTACATCCCACGAGAGGGCATGGGTTTCCTTTAATTTCTAAGAGGGTCATGGATCGATTAGGCCATTGCCGAAGTGCGTGTCGGCGTATTTAACATTATGTTCTTGAAAATATTAAATTTTATGACATGCAGGTTCCCATACGATATTTTACTTCACAGCCAAACAAGTTGCAATTTATAATACAATTTTATTGGACAATTGTATAGGAGAGGAATTAGCGGAGATGGATGTCTGGTTGTTAGAGTGCTAGTGCTGTTAGTGTACCACGGCTCTTTAGTGTGGTAAGTATTGGATGGGCTGAAAAGTTCGTATCGTCTCTATGAGATGGCGCCACTAGAATAAAATCCATATCATTTTTAGGTAGTACCAACCTTCAAAAGAAACGTGTATAAATTTGACAACTATCTGATTATTAATTTGTGAGATACAGCATTTTGAGTGAAGCAACTTTTGTTATTTTAAAAAAATTGAAAAAAAGGAATTTCGTGTTTTAATGAAACACTATTTTTTGATGAAAAAAAGTGCTGCTGATACCAAAAAGTGGCTTGATGAGTGTTATCCGGACTCTGCGCCGGGCGAAGCAACCATTCGTGAGTGGTTTGCCAAATTCCGTACAGGCCATATGAGCACCGAAGACGATAAACGCAGTGGACGTCCAAAAGAGGCTGTTACGGACGAAAACATAAAAAAATCCACAAAATGATTTTGGAAGATCGTAAATTGAGGTTGATTTGTATAGCTGGCACTCTAAAGATATCAAAGGAACGTGTTGGACATATCGTTCATGAATATTTGGGTATGCGAAAGCTACGAGTATGTGCAAAGTGGGTGCCGCGCGAGCTCACAATCGACCAAAAACAAGAACGTGTCGATGCTTCAGAGCAATGTTTGGAGCTGTTCAACCGCAATAGAAGTGAATTTTTGCGTCGATAGGTGACAATCGATGAAACATGGATCCACCACTACACTCCGGAGTCCAGTCGGCAGTCATCTGAATGGACTGCACGCGATGAACCGAATCCAAAGCGTGGAAAAACTCAACAGTCGGCCGGTAAGGTTATGGCGTCCGTATTTTGGGATGCACATGGAATAATTTTCATCGACTATCTTGGAAAGGCAAAAACCATCAACAGCGACTATTATATAGCGTTATTGGAGCGTTTAAAAAAAACGGCCCCATTTGAAGAAGAAGAAAGTGTTGTTTCATCAAGACAATGCGCCGTGTCACAAATCGATGAAAACGATGGCAAAATTGCATGAATTGGGCTTCGAATTGCTTCCGCATCCACCGTATTCTCAAGATTTGGCCCCCAGCGACTTTTTCCTGTTCTCAGATCTCAAGAGAATGCCCGCTGGAAAGAAATTTAAAGCCGATGAGGAAGTAATCGCCGAAACAGAGGCCTATTTTGAGGCTAAACACAAATCGTACTACAAAAATGGTATTGAAAAGTTGGAAGATCGCTATAATCGGTGTATCGCCCTCGATGGCAACTATGTTGAATAATAAAATCGAATTTTGTCAAAAAAATGTGTTTTTATATAAAACGATACGAACTTTTCAGCCCAACTGTTAAAGAAGTCAAATTACTTACTATCAAATAGATTTATTTAAGCACAATTTGACGAAACATATTTATGTGCGGCTTACATGATGTATAACATCATTTGCAAGACCAGTGACAGTGAGGTGATGCCCAACTTATTTTCGAATGATTGCCTATAGAAAAGAAGGTATTTTATTGTTCTGTTGGAAAGCATAGAGACGCGAAACATATAGACCACGCTTATGGAGCTCAGGTGCGAGATCGTGTTCTAGCATCTACAAAAACACTCCAACGGTGATGATAATATAGAGAGATAGGTTCGTTGTGACCATGTACTTATTTATTTGATTTATTCATTTATCTTTTTTATTGAACACTATACAAAACGTGCATAGTAAATATAAGCAAAAGATACGTGCAATGGGCGGTCAGCGATCTCTTCCCGGCAACCCACTGCTAAACAGGAATGCAAGAAAATTAAAGAAGTAGGGTGAGTCGAAATAAGACAAAAAAATAAAAAAAAACTTAATTATACTGGGTGACTATTTTACCGTCTCGAAAATAATATGGTGTTTTGTGTAAGTAGAATAGAAGCTATCCTCGAAAGTATTTATAAAATATAACAAAATATAACTAGATAAGTAAAATTTCCGAATATTCAAAAAATACGTAAAAACAATCCATCCTACGTCGTTCGTGTATGTCAATGACCTTAAAACTTTCGTTTTTTAGTAATTCGTAAAATACTGGATCGATAATAGAAAGCAATTTAAAAAAGCACTTCTCATTGCCATTCTTTCATTAATAATGCCGTCGCGTGTCGAAGATCGAAATCAACTTATCTACAAACTACACAGATTGATATTTACAAAATTTTTATTTACAAAAATTACCTTTTTTGCGATATCGTAGTAATTGTGCAAAATGTCTGCCGTTTCCTTCTAAACACAAACTAGCCTGACTCTGTAAATTGTTTGTTAAGCTTCGAGGCGTGTCTTTATCACTTTTTATCACACTAAATGCGTCTGTTATACGCTGCTTTAAATCACTAACACTTTGTGATTATTCGTTTTAGTTCGACCCACAAATAAGTCTAGAGGTGTTATGTCTGGTGATCTCAGCGGCCAGTTCACAGGTCAACCACGACCTATCCACCTATCACCGAATTGGCTGTCCAGATATGTGCCCACAATTCACTACTGATCTTAGATTTACTGAATGGAGAATCATGAAGAAACTCGAAGCGTATTTTGGGGTAAGCAAAATAGGAAGTATTGAAGTAAACGCTATAAACATGAAGTATGTGAGCATTCCGATGAAGTGTTTACAGTAGTTTCTGTATTGGAAGTCGTATTGACCCGATGAGATTAGTACGTAAAAGAGAAACAAAACATAACAGGTCATATTAAGTATTAAATGAACGTAATCCAAATACAAACCTTATACACAAATTTTGAACCATTTAATATAATTTTCCCTATTATAAGTATTTGACTTCCTTTAGTACTTAGCCTTTATTGTTGCTTTTTCATTATTAATAAATTTTATCTTATCTGCAACCCGAATTGAATATGTGTATCAGCATCGTCCGCTATGGAGGCGACCCTACTTCAAGTTTCTGTGAGTTAGATATAGATCCATTTGTTAGTTTCCTCTTCGAACAAATATATGTAAACTATTTGGCGAGTTCAGGTGGGTTTTAAGTTTATCACTTATTTCATCGCAATTGTTTATTTTCAGACATGCATTCCTTCTTCGGATCGTAAAACTACTAAATATAATAATAACCAACCATAATACTCTCATATTATGGTTGATTTGCCTTAACAAAAGACCGAACGTTTGCATCTTTGAAGCTGTCATGCTTGTATTTTGAGTCAGTATTGTGGGTCTGTTTTGTATGTGACATAAATACGAGATGTTATCACAAATAACATTTATCGAAAGCTTTAAAAACTTACTAGCGTTTTGCGTAGTTAAATCCTACGTCACTTTTTATGTATAGCTCATATGGAGAATCGTTCCACAGTACCAAGAGGGTAATACTTACATAAATTTACTTATAAAAAAGTTAAAATACATACTTCCACAGTGCACAGGTCGCAATCCTCGTGACACTTCCTGGGGCACTGATGATCTCCCCGATCTCCTATTAAATTCGCCGTGCATCCTTTCTTTGCTTTAGCACAAGGCCTTGGACATACATACTGAAATTAAACAACGAAAACGTAAAATATTTGATGAGATGATCTCATAACATGTAGGTAGTAGTTGGCTAGATTGTTAGCAATTGACTTTGTACCTAACACAGTTAAAAATAACGTAAAACGTAAATGCAATGTCAGCATGTAATTTATTTAATTTAAACATTCAACATTACAGGTTCAATGAACCGATCTATAGAGTTATCTATTAGACTTTTTTTAAATTAGGTAAAATATAAAATTTAAAAAAATTATGGTTATGAACTAAACAATTTAGGTATAAGATATCTTCATCATCAGCCAATCATAAGTCCACTGCTGAATAAGGCCTCCCCCATGGAGTGCCACAAAGCATTGTTATGTGTCACCTGCATCCATCGACTTCGTAACTCCATCTAGTGGGGGACCACCCTATGCTTTGCTTACCGATACGAGACTGTCACACGAGAACCTTTCTTGTCCATCGGTTGTCGATCCCTTGAGCTGTATGGCCGCCCTATTGACACTTACTGATCCGTTGAATTATGTTGATAACTATGATTCTGCTGCTAATATCCACATTTCTTAGTCAGTTACATAGCGAAACTCCGAGCATAGACCTCCCCATAGCTCCCTGAGTGACCTTAGGCTTTCTCATATGGCCAGCAGTGAAGGACCACATCCTAGCTCCATATGTCATCTCTGGCAACAGGCAGTGGTTGCACACCAGTTTTCAAATTTTGAGATATACGTGGCGAGAAAATGAAAGAATCAAAATGCAGATGCGTTACCACCCCTGAGGACTAAGATGAAACTCCTCGTTTCTAGAGAAAAGGGTCTCCGGTTCTCTAAACTCACCATACGAAACACAGCAGCGTTAATCTGCTATTTTACGCTGGTATTTTGTGAGATCGTGGTAATAAATCGATCGAGCCGACCCATAACACTCGGAAAAAACAGACCTCGACAGGGCATTCCACTCCTTGGTTGTGCGCATTATAAAAGATGACTTATGGCGCCTAATGCGAATATTCAGAATATCAAACATGTGTGGATGGTAACCTGCAGTACGTCTGGTACTCCGGTAGGAGAATGGAGACGGCGGTAAGAGCTTATGAAGCTCATGGGCACACCCTCCGAGGTACAATCTTTAGAAGACCGACAAACAAGCAACTTTGCGGCGATGAGCTAAACTGTGAAGCTTAGTCCCCATCAGCTTTTTTTCGTCGATAAGCCTCGACTCTGCGTTGCACTGAGTCGAGTGCGGCAAGTAGATAGTTTGCTGAGCCATCCCAAAGGTGACTAAAATAGTCCATGCATGTTCGGACTTGTGCTTTGTATTAAGTTAGAAGTTGTTCAGGCGTGAAGTATCGCTTCAGCTTGTTTAGAATAACCAGTTTTTGGCCCTAGTTTAGGCTTTGGAATCAATGTTAGCCCCAAAGTTGAGGTTAACACTGAACTGTACGCTGAGAACCTCGAGATGATCAGTAACCTCTACAGAATACGTTTTGCAAAAAACAGACAGGTCTGAGTTTTAGCGGCGTTGGTGATCAGATTGGGTGAAAAGACTTAAGGTCGCATTTATCCACTCCACCATGGTCTCTCTGAGTGAATACTGTTACTGCCCCTCCGTGTTTTGCACTGGACATGAAGCTCTCTGTGACTGTGACTGACTATCATCTGCATGACGAACAATACCTGGTAGAAGTATGTCATTGATGTGCAGTAGGAAAAGGGTCGCAGAGAAAACAGACCCCTGAGGAACTCAGGCATTAATATGCATTAGGTCCGAAGAGCAGCCATCTATGATTACCATGATCGACGGTTCACTCAGAACGTCAGATATCCAGTTGCAAAATTCGGCGGGTTCGCTGTAAACAGGAAGCTTACTCAGCAAACTTGCGTGCCAAACCCTGTCAAAAGCCTAAATAAATAATATTTTGAATAACTACGTACGTACGTACGTAATTTGGAGGTAGGTAAAAAAATATTAGGGGTTTTCTTTGTTAACGCCTGGAAGCGAAAAACTAACAAATATTAAATTACCGTCACGTACTTTATGAGAATAGTATAATTGCTCTAGAAATAAAATAGCGCATTATTTTAAAGGTATTTTGGTGATAAAAAATTATTAAAAAATTACTTACTTTTGGATGTAAAGTAGGCGAGATAGGTGTGTCAGGATCGTGCCAAATTTAAGTCCGTAGTCTATGCCTACCCTTTTGAGTGACAGGTGGGAGTATTTACGTATGTACTTACCTTTTCATGATTGGGATCGTAAGAAACGTGGCAAGTGCGTGTACATTTGTGACCACATTTTTCTACACGATATATGCAGGGAACCAGGCAAATTACATTTTTTGTTTCCAGGTAACATGCCTTTTTCGCCTGAAATTTGAAAATGGATTCTTTTTTATAAAATAAAGGGATGAAAACACTTACAGTATACCAGATGGTAAGTGTCTATTGCACCCCACGGACACCAGTAAACAACTCCATTGAGATACGAGGGTGATGCCAAAAAAAAAACTAGATACACAAAAATGATAAAAACTTTCTATATTACTGGTAATGGATCTATGCAAAGTATTGCCCTTCAGTTTCTACACTTAACCATCTAAATAGTTTGGAAAACACCTCTGATCACTTTTCTTCAGACACCTTACAGTTCTCAATATTATGAGTAGCCGTATGAGTTATGAGTAACAGTACGCAAAGAGCAACACGGGGCACCGGCGTATTGAAGGGGAGTAGTAGTAGAGTACGTAGTCGTTACCGTCTGTCAATTAAACGAGCTGCAGCTGCACTGCTCACTAGACTAAATTTACAATTTAGCGCGGGTGAATTGTCGACCTAAAAAAATGCCGAGTGTTTGGTTTTTGCAGCAAAAAGAGATCTGCCCCATCAAATTTACGAGTATCAAATAAATCTTTACTTTCATATAAGCTACTAAAACATAAAACTCAGTATATGTAATAACAAAATATCTTGACTACAATCTCATATGGAAAAATAACCACCATCCACATAAGAACAACTTTGTTCTGAGGTGCCATTTAAATATTATTATTATTTTAATCTTCTTTTCTTAATCGTCCCGTAAAATTTCACAGGTACCATCTCCCCCATTAGTCTTAAACATCACACGTAGTAGGCGGATCTAAGGTCAGGTCAATACCAGACGACTTAAACCTGTGACGCTCGTGCCTGCTGTCAGTCTGAGTACTCTACGTGTATCCTGGTTATACCGTCTTTTAACGGAAGCTATAATAATTTTATGACATTTCCTGCAGTCGCCTCTTACGAGCTCCACCGGACGAAATTAAGTGGTGTATATTTGTACGCCGCCACAGCACGGCATAGTGTTCTAAATAATACTAAATTTACATTTAGAATAGTATGGCGTGTAATCTAAATGTTTATAACTTAAATTTGTAAAATTTAAAAATAATATAAGTAGATATACCTCGTGGCCACAATTTGGTAAAGTTACAGTGACTTTGGTGACACACATGACTGACTCGTCTGTAGTCTCCAAATGGCAAGGCAGTGACATGTCATGGCCACAGGGCAACTTCTTTAATACCATCACTTTGCAGGGCTCACATGGAACTTTGCATTCCAATGGACAAACATGTCCATTTTCACATAAGATCCTGTAAATTACCCATATATGAATTTGTGTTACTGAAGATAGACTAAAATTATAAAAAAGTTAATAAACTTAAAAGATATTTTTTTATAGATTAGGGTGACAAACGAGCACACAGTTCACCTGATGGTAAGTGGTTGCTGTGGCCCATAGACATCTACATCAATCCTCGATTACAAAAAAAAATACAGATGCGTTGTCACCCGTGACGACTAAGATGGAATGCCTCGTTTCCAGTAAAAAGGGTATCCCGGTTCTCCACACTCACCATACGAAACACAGCAGCATTAAGCTAAGTAAAGTAGTATATATATTTTCCAATGTGTCAGAGATGCCTTTCTGCTTGATATTCCACCTGGGAAGGATTCTCTCACTTACTTATTTTTTCACACGACAAGCACCAGTGTATCCATGAAGAAGGCTAGAATAATTATTTACAGGCTGCGAGTGATTTCATCTTAGTTTTAATGGAGGGATAATGCATTTGTATTTTGTTTAGGTTAATTATGTAAGCTTGTTTGTTAATGGTAATTAAGAAGTCGGTCAATTGTAGAGATTTGAAGAGTTTTGAAATTTGATTTGATTTGAAGAAGACTGGGAAACAGTTCGGACTCCAAAACTGTATTCTTCTTTTACGTAATTGTCTTCTTTTTGTAAGTGGGGGACGAGTCGCACTTCCGTAAGTTTCGACCGCATCCCCAAGGCCCAGCCTACACGTAACCCCCTCCCCCCTCGGTGATGCTAAACGAGCGAAAAAGCCGAAGAAAGATATCGCGTCTCGCAACCGTATGGTATCGGCGAAATAATGTGCCACCTTTAGAAAAACGTGCAAGACAAGAAAAGAAGTGGCTAGAAGAGCGCGACTATAACAAGTACAGTAAAATCTGGGAAAACTGTATGCTAAAAAGTCGTATTGCCAGTGATGACTTATGGCTCTGAGACGTAGTCCTTCACTGCTGGCCGTATGAGGAAGCAAGTTCGCTCAGCGAGCTATGGAGAGGGCTATGCTCGGGGTTTATCTGCGTGATAAGACTTAAAAATGAAAGAAACCTACATAGCCCAACGGATTAGTAAGCCTAAGAGGCAATGGGCCGGCCATATACCTCAAAGAACCGACAACCGATGTTGAAGAAAGGTTCTCGAGTGGCAGTCTCGTACCGGTAGGCGAAGCGTAGCACATGAGTAGTCCAACGGAACAGAGACAAAGCTTCTTAAGAACGAGCTAAATTGTTACCTATATTGGTAGGGTTGCCACAATACGTAAAGACAAATAAATTTGTTAAAATAAATGTTTTGTTTATATTTTTATTATTACTATTTATAGTTTTATTACTCAATATGTAAAATTATAAAACTCTGTAGACGGCGGATTGTTATCTTCATATAAAATCGAGAAGTAGTATTAATTAAATTATCTTGATTCATTCCTAAATTAACTATTTATAGTTTTATTATTCAGTATTGTTACGAGCTTGAGGTTCGTGACAATAAAAATTGCCGATAAAATTACCTAAATTAACACTTTAATTTACTTTACACAAATTAAAACTAAAAACACTAATAATTAAACACACTAATTCACTTAATTCCGTTCCGAAGCTTCGCTTGTGTCGCCGAGTTCAACTCTACTCCGATCGCATCTTGCAGCGCCTACTTATATAAATTAGCAAAATATCCAGAATGTTCAAGTAAACACGCGCAAGGTACCGAGAGTTCGAGTTTTAAACTTCAAGAAGTTTAGTTCTTCGGTTCGAGACTAGATGGCGCTAGTGCGCCGATTTGAGGCATTGGAGCGCGTAACACTGCCCCTTCCTAAGACATGCTCGTCCCGAGCATTATCGGTCCCATAATAACGCGCTAGGCGATCCACATGGACGATCTTAGGAGTCCCTCTTGCGCCTTTCTGTATCCGGTAGGTTACATCGTTGATCCTGGTCACAATCCGGTACGGGCCGTCCCATTTAGCTTGAAGCTTAGGAGATTTCCCTTTGCTGCGGACTGGATTGTGCAACCACACAAGTGAACCTTCGTCGAACACTTTGTTGTTCATTTTGCGGTCATACCGGGTTTTCATCTTTTTCAGACATTTGCTGGCCCGATTGTCTGACGTGCTCATAAACGTCATTCATTTTGTTCCGCAAGTCATTTGCATAATCGGTTATACTGCGTGGAGCATCAGGTGGTATCCCGGTGATCAGGTCTGCAGGCAGCCGTAATTCTCTTCCAGAGTTTGCGAAAGCTGGTGTCACTGCTGTACTTTCGTGAACAGCGCTTCGATATGACAACAAAAACGGTTGTATGTGCTTGTCCCAATCTCGTTGCCGATTGTCTACAACTTTTGCTAGGTACCTCTCCAATGTCTGATTAAATCGTTCTACCATTCCATCAGATTGCGGGTGATAAGAAGTCGTTCTTGTTTTATGAGTACCCATAATTCGGCAAGTTTCCTGGAATATTTGAGACTCAAAATTCCTCCCTTGATCGCTGTGAATCTCTAAAGGTACACCAAAACGACAGAAGACTTCATGAACTAGCTTATCAGCAACTGTTGAAGCTTCTTGATTTGGAATGGCGAAGACTTCTGGCCACTTAGTGAAGTAATCCATCACAACCATGAAATACCTGTTACCGCTTTCACTCTCTGAAAACGGCCCCGCCACGTCAATGGCTATTCTCTCCCATGGTGCACCAACATTGTACAACTTCAATGCACCTCTACTACGAGTCTGAGGTCCCTTTACAGCCGCACAACTTGTACATTTGCGACACCAGTCCTCGACATCGTTTCGACAGTGGACCCAGTAAAACCGTTCTCGGATCTTCAGTAGAGTTCGTTTAACTCCCAGATGGCCTCCTGAATAATCATTATGGTACAGCTGTAGAACATCCGGTACTTTAGCTTTAGGGACAACCATTTGTAAATGACAGCTGTCTCCCCGAACATTTTCCCATTTACGGCACAGAACTCCATCCTGAAGCAGCAAGCTGTCCCACTGGGCCCAATAGCTTTTAGTGGTCGAACTCATCGCTGAGACGTCGCTCCACTTGGGCTTGGGAGCACTGGCCTTCATCCATTCCAGGATCGGCTTGATGTCCGGATCTTCCTGCTGTGAACGTTGTAAGCTGTCCTTCCACTCGTTGCTGAGGTGGTCTGCCCTGAGCATCCTCACGGATACCACTTCCTTACTCTCTTGCCTAGTACAATGTTTGCAATCTTCAGGACAAGGTCTTCTTGACAATGCATCTGCGTTGCCATGAGATTTCCCGTTACGATGTTCGATCTCAAAGTCGTATTCCTGCAGTAGTTCAATCCACCTCGCAACTTGTCCTTCTGGATTTTTAAACTGCAATAGCCATTTTAGTGCAGCATGGTCAGTTCGTAAGTGAAATTTTCGCCCCAGAAGATATTTGCTAAAATGCTGCAACGACTTTACCACAGCTATTCAATTAAGCTAAGCAATTCGCGTCTTGTGACACAGTAGTTCTTTTCCGGTTTTGACAACGACTTGCTGAAGTACGCTATCACGACCTCTTGGTCACCATTCCGTTGAGACAACACACCGCCAATTCCTATATCACTTGCGTCTGTGTCAACTATAAATTCTTTGCTTGCATCAGCGTATCCCAAAATAGGTGTTTTGCACAGACGGTCCTTGAGCTCCTGGAATGCGATATTGCAACTTTCATCCCAGCAGAAATGTCGCTTCTCCTCGGTTAGATTGTGCAGAGGTTTGGCTATATCTGCAAAGTTCTTCATAAATCGCCGGTAATAGGAGCACAAACCCAAAAATGCTCTAACCTGCGTCTTGTCTTTTGGAACCGGCCAATCCTTGACAGCGGCGATTTTCTCTGGATCTGTGCGGATACCTTCTTCCGATACTACAAACCCCAAAAAGTTAACTTGCCGTTGGAATAGTGAACATTTCTTCGGGCTCAACTTGAGGTTGGCACTCTGAATCTTCATGAGCACGCGTTCCAGGTTTTGAAGGTGTTCCTCAAACGTACGGCCTATGATGATGATGTCATCCAAATAGACCAGACAGGGATCGCCAATTAGCCCGGTAAGTACAAGTTCCATCAGCCTTTCAAACGTTGCTGGAGCATTGCACAACCCAAACGGCATTACTTTAAATTGCCACAGACCCTTTCCCGTCGAGAACGCAGTTTTCTCCTTGTCCTTAGGGCAATTTCAACTTGCCAGTAGCCACTTTTTAGATCCAGCGTGCTAAATCACTTTACTCCTGTAAGCATGTCCAGCGTGTCATCAATTCTTGGCAAGGGATTGCTGTCCTTCTTCGTAACGTCGTTCAGACGGCGGTAGTCAACACAAAACCGCATGCTGCCATCCTTCTTCTTCACCAGCACCACTGGTGAACACCATGGACTAGATGAAGGTTCAATAACACCATCCTTCACCATTCCCTCAATCATGGTTTCCACTTCCTTTTCACGTGCTACCGGCAATCTTCTTGGCCGCTGACGGATAGGCAATTCTCCTCCTGTGTTTATTTTGTGTTGAACTAAGCCAGTCTTTCCTATGTCAGCATCGTTTGATGAGAATACATCGGCGTACTTGAGTAACAACTTCTTCGCCTTGACCAATTCGTTCGGGGAGAGAACACTGCGACAGTCTTCCAAAAGTGTGGTCACTCTCGTTTCTGCATCCTTGCTGGGGGTCCCACTCGATATATATTGGCACCGACGTAACCAATCCACTTCCTCACAAGTACCAATCAGTGTGCCTTTTTCTATAATCTGTTCCCGGTCGCAAAGGTTCAGCACACGTACTCCTGAGATGTCAGTGGTCCTAACCAAGGTTCGAGCTACTTTCCATGGAAGGTCATTGTTTACCCTTTCCACAAGTACACAACGGTGAGCTTGCCCAGCGTTTCGAGGAAGACTAACCGGAACAATCGTTTCCGATCTCGGCTGAAGAACAATCTTCTTAATGCTGTACACGTTCCCTGGTAACGCACCTTCCATAAAAAGTTCCTCCTGTCCACATTTCAAAACACCTTGCTTAACGTCGATCTCACAACAATTATTCCTCATAAAGTCTAGGCCTAGGATGCAGTCGTCCATTATATCAGCCACGATGACATTATGCAGGTAGATCACGTTGCCTAGCTTCAACTCCATCTCCTTCTCTCCACGGACGGGTATACGCTGACCGGTAGCTGTTACCAAATTAATGCGTTCTCGGTTGTATGCGGAGTCCCCAAGGAACTGACTTATAAGTTGGGAACTAACAACCGTACGAGAGGCTCCAGTGTCTATGGTCAGTTTACACGGCATTCCGTTGACCTCGCCCTTGATGATTAGACTGTTCCCATCAAGGGTTTGTGAGATCGAGATCCTTGGGGCTCTTTTAACATCAGCCAGCACCCGCCCCGCAGTTCTGGCTTTTACTCGTTTCCCTGCTGCTGCTGGGCGGTGCTGTTGGCCGCACTACCCTCCTGGGATCGTTCACCTTCCCTTTCTAGGGTTCGCTTAGGGCAGCTGGATCGAAGATGGCCCTTTTCCCCACAGCCATAGCACCTTGGGCTGTATCCTTTGTTGCGGTCCCAAACTGTAGCTGCTGCAACCTCCCTGACGCGATGGGAACGATGATCCTGCCGCACGGCTTCCACTTCCAGTGCATGGGCCAAGGCGTCCTTAAGCGTCTCGTGGTGCCAGAGCCTCACAGCAGCTCTGACTTCCAGGTCGAGGATGCCGTCGATGAATGTCTGCACCAGGTTCCCTTCAATGAGCGCAGGTACAGACCGGTATGCTTTTCGCACCAGCTTCTCCACTTCTAGAGCCCACTGCTGCAGGTTTTCGTTGATGCGCTGCACACGATCTTTAAGCTGCGCACGAAAGACGTGTTCCAGGTGAGCGTCGCCATATCTCGCCTCCAATGCCTCAAGGAGTTGCTCATAAGTCACTTCCTCACCGAGAGCTTCCAGAACTGTTAAGGCCTGGTCACGCAGGCCTAGTGTGAGAGCAGTCATGGCCTGATTTTTATTCCAGCCGTTCGCCTTCATAACAGCTTCGAACTGGATTTTGTAGGCTGACCAGGAAGAAGTCCCGTCGAATGGTGGCACCTTGAACCCACGTAGCGAAGGTGTAGTAGCTACTACGGGAGCTGTAGTTCCCTCCCCAAGTTTGAGTTCGTCAAGTGATTTCCTCATGTCAGCCATTACGTTGTCAACCCGATTGTTCACTTGGTCAATTCGGGTTTCAGCTTCCGACAGGCGGTTTTCATGTTGAGCAACCTTATCCTTCACCTCCCTTATCTCTTTCCCGAAGGTAGCGTGAAGGTCCTTCATGAGAAGCATCTGTTCCTCCTGTCGGCGGGCCTGTTCTTCCTGCTGCTCTTTCAACAGACGGGCCTGTTCCTCTCGTCCGCGTTGCAGCTGCTCCTGTAGCATCGCCATCAGAGCACCTAAATCAGGTGCTGCAGATGCAGGAGCTACTGACGAACCGGCCTCCGTTGCCGGCGGCTGGCCTTCCGACGTCTGCGGCGTTGCACCACCAAATCTTCTCTGGTCCGTCTCATGCTGGCGTTGACTGCGGGTACGAACACCCTCCGTTTCCTCCTTAGGTAAAATCGGCATGATTTTATCCCACTTCTGACATCAATTGTTACGAGCTTGAGGTTCGTGACAATAAAAATTGCCGATAAAATTACCTAAATTAACACTTTAATTTACTTTACACAAATTAAAACTAAAAACACTAATAATTAAACACACTAATTCACTTAATTCCGTTCCGAAGCTTCGCTTGTGTCGCCGAGTTCAACTCTACTCCGATCGCATCTTGCAGCGCCTACTTATATAAATTAGCAAAATATCCAGAATGTTCAAGTAAACACGCGCAAGGTACCGAGAGTTCGAGTTTTAAACTTCAAGAAGTTTAGTTCTTCGGTTCGAGACTAGATGGCGCTAGTGCGCCGATTTGAGGCATTGGAGCGCGTAACAGTATGATATAATCCTTTACAAATTATTTACTCTAATAATTTTCTCTTTATAATTTTTTTTTTTAATCATTTATTCTTTCTTTTAATGGTGTGGTCAATTTTGAATTCATAAAGTTTTCTATAGCTGTTGAGCAGTTCCTTCGTGAGGAGACTATCCTGTCTGCAGCAGCAGTTTATAGTGAAGATCATGTTTGGCAAACAAAAGTAAATTTGAATACAAAGTTTAGAGTCCATGCCATTAACAGTTAAAGAGTTCCCTCGTAAGGCTGCAGCAGCAGTTCATGATAAAAATCGTGTTAAAATATAAAAATTTACCTAACATACAAAATTTCGTGACCCTGCTACAATTTTGTATTTGCAACAAACAATCTGCTTGGAATCCTAAACATCTGCTTGGTATCCTATAATAAATAAAATTAAATCCCAACCCAAGCATACAACTGCAAGACTTCAAGATACCATAAGTTCATACTGTGTAGATCGGAACAAAAGTTAAATTTTTATCTATGGTAACCACTGTTAACAATGACATTTGGACGTTGAACATCTCAGTCCCCCCCCCGTGACCATGAGTGCTGTAAAGTGCTCGAAACGTCGGGTATTTAAAAAGTTAAATATACGCCATAAAATCCGTAAAAACTAGTATTATTTCAATGCAACAAACAATTTTAAAATTAAAAAAAAAAATTCAACGAGCTTTGTTTGTATACAAAATTTTCACTCGCAAGACATCGGGAAGTGGTTTAAATCTTACTTGTAATATGTGAACTTAACATGCATACCTACTACATACCAACCCACCAACATACCTACAAATGTTTAGTAAAAACTTGTAATAACAATAAAAAGGTAAAACACACCGTGTAGTACCCTCTTCTTATTAAAAAAAGGATCATACAATAAAATAAAGGTACTCACTTGAAAAAGTAATAATCAAATATTTAGTTGCCTATTGTACTCCTTGGGAAAGTTATAGTATGATATATTTTTATTTTTTCTAGTATTATTCATACACACAGTATAATAAACAACCATTATCTATAATACCGCGTTTTACATTAAAATATTCAAACTTCCAAACGAAACAAACAATGTGGTCAGTGCGACGACCCTGAGATTTGTCAACTGGCTGCGCCAGAGTAACCGGTTTTTTTACCAGTCTCGCCGCGTACGCGACAATCAGCCAGTGGTCACACACACATGCCTCGCATGCTTGTGGTAGTGCAACGATTCGTGCGGTTGTATGAAGCTTTATCTCTGTTCCATATGTACTCATTTGAGCTCATGAGAGCGTAGGGCGGCCCCGCACCTATGGAGTGACGACCTGGTAAGATGCAGTAAGTCGATGTATGCAGGTGGCTCAGCACCAAGTTTTGTGGCAATCCTTGGGGGAGAACTATGATACAGCGAGGGACTGTAATGATGATGGTGTTGTTTGAAAGAGTTATAAAACATACTGAGGGGAATATTTGGGATTTAGAAAGGAAATGGGGTGTATGGATCAAGAGTTTTCCATGGCGCATGATAACAGATAAGTTTATTGCTCATTTATGGATTTAGAAAAGGCTTATGACAAAGTGTACCGGGTTGCTTTATGGTAAATACTGGACTCATTTTGGTTGAGCGATGAACATAAAACGGGCATAAAATTTCTTAATAGGGACTCTAGTGCTTGTGTCAGAATCAACGTGATCTACTTAGACTTTACCTTTCGCATCTTAATATGCATTGGGTTGTAACATGTCCGCGATCATATCCGTGACACATCAGTGGACACTGATGACCACAAGACAAATTAGCAGTGCATTTTAACATACATCCACCTTCTGGTACTTTTTTGAAGTCTTGTGCATTTGAAATCTGAAATTAAGCATTTCAGTGGATCATTTTCTACAGAATTTATATACAATATTTTAGTTTGAACATACAAATTTGTGTTATTTAGAAATCTTGCCAACATTTCTTACAGTACGTGAGTATATTTACGTTGTATGATATCCGATACTTAAGAATGTTTACATTTTAAAGAAAAAAAAATTAAACTTACGAGGGTTATTTCTTTTCGGTGACCTTCACAACGTAATTTTAAGGTTTTTCCAATAGACCCGTTGTTTTCCAAAGTTAGTGCGATTTTCTCCCACAATTCTGAATTTTTTCTAAGTATATCAATATTTCCAAATAAGTAGAAACCTGTAATTTAACACTTAAACAATTTTATACACGTTCGTCATCATCCACTGCTTTTATGGCACGGCCTAATATAGCCTAATACATGGGAAGTATATGCTGGGAAACATAAAGCTAAGAACTTATTAGGGTGGCAACACTGCGCCATACTCGTGTTACTGACTTTTATTAAGTTTAATGATCAGATTCAGATCAGATTGTGTGGTGACGATAAATGGGGTCCGGTTTCCCAAACACATTAAATAAATGTGTTACGTAAAAGTTCTTCAAAAGGGAACTGTTTGCCAGTGAAAATCACTTTGTAACTGCGCTTTAATTTTCCAAATGTTATTGTTAATTTTATTGTAACATTAAATAAAACTCTATGGACAGTACACTTTTCTTTATCGTTTCAATATGTCATATTCAATATTTATCAGTCATTTGTCTAACCACTAATACTAAAATTAATAGTTAGACAAGTGACTGATAAATCAAAATCTTAATCAGAATCTAAAACCCAATTGCAGTCAGAAACAGTTTCCGAGAATTCGAGCGGAATTTTTGTGTAACAAACACGAGAACGAAGTGTGTGATCTGAGCTTTAGTTATTAAGCTAAGGTTTAGTTAGATTTCTTGTTCAAAAATATTTTCCAAAAAATAACAACGAAAGAATCTTGGGGTGCACTGCACTGTTGTCTATAATAAATAGAAGTGTAAAAGTGGTAGCCCGATAACTAGCAATTTAGATGCCTTGCATAAAATGTCGCAACTTGATCAGAAGTAGCTAAGTGAAAGAGTGTGGTCGAAATCAAACTATTTAGTGTAGTATATTGCATTACAGCATTCTGCAAACTTAACATAATTTCAGTACTAAAAAAAATTGTCGACTTTTATATCATTTGCCTACCTATAAATTAAAAAAAAAGACATAAAAGGAGGATAGAACAGGAAGTAAATTTAAAATATATGAGAAGGATGCGAAACAGTTTATCTGGACGGCGATAGCAAGTACGTGATGAAGCAGATATTTCGAGAACCAGTCCTAAAAAGAGTATGTTGATTTTCAGGGATATCCAGGTAACTTTAAAATTCCACTGATTTAAAAGTACTCAATGATCCATTATAGTATATTTAATATTAAAATTAATGTTAGAAAAGAACTAACTCTGCATGACTCCGAAGACAGTGGAAAAAAATGTTGTCAAGTCTTTTTGGAGATATATTGGACATATACAATTTTTTTACCATTGGTAAAAATATAACGTATTTTAATACGATATTAGTAAAAAGTATACGTGAATAATAAACATTACTTTTTCTTTCAATTTATATATTTTCTAAACTTATGGTTCAAAAGTTAGAGGGGGAGGATAACACATTGTTTTTTACTTTTGGAGCGATTATTTCCGAAATTATTGACATTATTAAAAAATGATCTTAGTAAACCCCTATTCATTTTTAAATACCTTTTCAACAATATATCACATATTAGGGTTGAAATTAAAAAAAATCACTTCCCACTTTACATATAGGGGGGCTACCCTAATAAAACATTTTTTTTCCAATTTTTATTTTACCACTTTGTCGGCGTGATTGATACACATATTGGTACCAAATTTCAGCTTTCTAGTGCTAACGGTCACAGAGATTAAGCGAGGACGGACAGACGGACAGACAGACATTGCGAAACTATAAGGGTTCCTAGTTGACTACGGAACCCTAAAAACTGCCGATTGAATTACCAAAATTGACACTTTAATTACCGAACACCAATTAAAACTAATACACACTAATAATTTATCACACTTAACACTTTAATTTACTTTATTTCGCTCCTAAGTCTTCCCTTGTATCGCCAATTCAATACTGCCCCGGTCGCGGCCCAAACGGCTTCATATAGGCCTTTTCCACCGAAACATCTAGAATGTTCCAGCAAATACCGGTCCCGACCGACTAGATGTAGAAAATTCGAGTGTGGAGCTTTCTAGAAAGCTTAGTTCTTCTATTCGATACTAGATGGCGCTAGTGGGAGAGTTCTAGAAAGATCTTGAGGCTCCTAGTTGTTGATCTTAAGGCTGCTTGATACCAGATGGCGCTAATAATCACCCGCCATATACCGGGCACTAATTATAGCGCGCAACAGTAATAAACCAGGTTTATTTAAAGCAGGCAAATACCTAACCTCTCCGCTTAGCGTTCTAGGTGTATAATAAAATCTAGATAGAGTTTGAATTGTATGTCTCCGTTTCTTTTGCAAAAAGGTGTATAATACTGTTTTAAATACTTTTGACCACAAAGTAAAGAAAGTTTATTTGGTACTTTAGTGTTGTATAAAGGAATTGCTTGTTAAGTTAGAAAAACAAATATTTAACATACCTTCTCGGGCCCTTGATAATGCCACGCAAATTCTGTTTTCCGTGCCCAGAAATCCGATTTTGTTTTGATCGTTATTTCTGACGAGGGATAGTAAGATTATTTTTGATTCCTCGCCTTGATAATTATCCACCACGGTAATTTTCACTTTGGATAAATGTGGATATAAAGAGCGATTCTGAAAATGTCATAAAAATATTTTGTTGTTATACCTATGTAATAGAACAAGAAGTGAACGCAAATATTAGGGGTTAAGGATAGAGTCAAAGTATATGTCCACGCGATCCTATGCGCACAATGAAACTAGTTGCAGCCGCACTGCTCACTAGGCTAAATCTAAGTTGCGCGGTTAAATCGACATCCTACATTTCTTTAAAACGTTACCTCCAAACTAGGATTACCTCCTGTATCGTGGGGCAGTTTACATACATAATTTTCACAAAGACAAACATCTAGACCCGTAACAATTATTTGTAGTTCGTACAAATACATGTTCTGTGCGGGATTCGAACCTTCGGCCACTAGCGCTTAAACTATAGTAGTAGTTCAAGCGCTAGTGGCCGAAGGTTCTATAATAGTAGTTTAGTAATGTATACTATATATACATTACTAAACCACTGAGCCGTCAAAAATGCCGAATTGTCCAGGTTTTGCTGCAAAAAGGATTTTTTTTAAATAATTTAATAAGGGTCTTGATTTTGAACAGAACTGGCGTAGATACGTATTAGTATTTATATTTTATCCCAACCAAATGGCGACGATCGGAAAATTCTGTTCTCATCCATGGCCCACGAAGTATAATAATGATATATCATTATTTATATATTTGAACTTAGTGTTAAATTTGGTTACTCTTTGTAAAAGTACCCCATCCCTATATAAGTTTTTTTAATCACATTATTGCCATTTGCTTTTTTTAAACTTAAAAATAACAAAAACAACGGTCGTGTTGTTTCGAATGTTTACCAACACAGGCCGCTCGCCAACACATACAGATCGGTCGAGCGACTGATACGAGTCTGTATCCGAGTTCTCGCTGTCACTTAGCCGAGCGATAATGGGTCTATGTGTGTGTGAAATTGTTAGTTTATTGTTTTAATTGTTATGTGTAAATATCGTAGTGACAGACTATGTGTGCGCAGATTTCCCCCTTCAAAAAATGATAAACGATCTTGTATCGGGCAAAAACGCTATGGCTACTCCCATCCGGTCCGCCGGTGCGGTGCCCCGTGTTGCTTATAATTATTGTTAAGGCATTGAAAGGCACAGAAATTACCGTTCCATATTGAAAATTTCAAAAAACTTTTTATAAAAATGATATACTTAATTAATCTTTTGATTTTTCTTTCATTTTTAAAGTCTGCATATTATTCAAAATTATTCACAATACATATCTGGTATTTTTGATACACCGGATATCAAAAATAGATATCAAAAAGTTATAGTAAATTAAATCATTAAATTACCACTGCCATTAGTGCTTTTCTATGCGTGGGCGTCTCTTTGGGGCACTGTTCCATTCCAACATTGGACCTGGGTTCGGCCATTGCATTTCTTGCTTATGATTATTATCGTAGAGAATCCACTTTTCATCAAACGTCGCATCTGTCCAAAATATCATAATATCTGCACCTTCTCATGAAAACACATCACTTATACTACTACACTACTATACTTCTTGTGCACATCACTTATTTGACGAGGCACCTATTTATAGTTTTTTTTTATTTTATTTATTTCCTCGGTGCAATTGCAACGCTTATTTCTTGATTTTAATTATCATTGTTTGCCTTTGTTTTCACAACGGGTTTTAGTATATACAACGAACTCTAAACACTAAATTTTTCAGTAAAATAAACTGTAATTACGAATCTTGGATCATCCAATTTAATACATTGTCCACTCCATTAAAACGGCAACTTCATACTTTAAAATCCAATTGGTAATCTCCCTTAGTATTAACACCTAGTTCACTAAGAAGAAAAATTCACATTACGCGTAGACCAACAGACCTAGTTTGAGGCGACAAGTGAAACAAGATTTGGTCGTATTTGGTTCTAAGTGAATCTAGTGAATAATTATATTATATTTTTTGCATTGTATGCACGTTTTGTATTCATATTTTTATTGGTTATGGATGTTAATGGATGGAAACCGATATACCGGCAGATCTATCAAGATCTCGATTATTCGCGTGAGTCGACGACGCATGATGTCGTTCCGTCGGGGGCAAGAACTCTGTTTCTTATAATGATTTCTTAAATTTACGCGAACACTACACATGGAACACTAAATTTACGGATTCTATCCCGTTTAATTAAGCTTCTTAAACAAAAATCTGTCAGAAGTGTACTTCAATTATTGACATTAAGTAACAATTTATTACTTTGTGTAATGATAATTAATTACTTAATAAATTTACTGAATTAATTACTTAAATACTTTCCTTGCCTAAAGTCCGATTTACACTTCGACAAGTACAGTAGCGAGTTCAGTTACAGGGCAGTTGACAGTAAACGGTTAAGTGCAGGGCCGGATCTATATATAGGCTTTTTGGCTGCAGCCCAGGGCCCCGGGGATATAAAGGGCCCCCAGGCTCCAGTGAAGACTAGCTGTCATAGCTTTAAAAATAATTATGATAACATTATGAAAATTTCATGAGTTTTGGTAGAAATGAGGATGAGAGTTGATTTTCAAAAAGAGACACGAAATTTAAAAAGTGGCTAAACCTGGTACTATTTTTTGGAAGAAATTTTTAAAGAGGATATTTGTAAAGGCATACAAGTTAATTATGTCATCAAAAGAGTTCGTGAGTAACGTACGACATCAAGCGAATTAAAATTAAAGATATACGCGGGGAAACCTTAAAACTTAAATACTAGAGTGGTAACGGAATACAGTGACATAAATAATAGTCAAGTCAAGTCAAGTCAAGAATAAAAATAAAAAATTTAAAGATACACGTTAAACGTTGTGTTGAATAAGCTGTTGGTTGGATTTTGGATTTAAATAGAAAATGTCAAGTCTATGAGGCATATAGTAAGAAATTCAATCAGTGAATTCGGTCTGAATTCGTGTCTGCCAGTAAGAGCCAACAGTCAAAGCTGAAGACTGAGTGTGGCAGCATCGTTTCCGAGACATCTGAGATTCTGAGTGAGATTGACAGGTTCTATGGGTAGTTGTACACATCATCGTTTGAGCCACACGCAAGTGTGAGTAACGATCCAAGAGCAAGTCTTATCCGATACTATTCCGATGATATCCCGGACGTCAGTCTGAGCGAGATTAGAATGGCTCTCCAGCACCTTAAAAACGGCAAGTCCCCGGGCGAGGATGGAATTACAGCTGAGCTTCTGAAAGCGGGTGGAAAACCGGTACTTGAAGTCCTTCAGAAGCTCTTCAATTCCGTCCTCCATGGTGGCACTACTCCGGAGGCGTGGAGCAGAAGTGCAGTGGTCTTGTTCTTCAAGAAAGGTGACAACGCCCTCTTGAAGAACTACAGACCGATATCCCTTCTGAGCCGCGTCTACGTGCTGTTTTCAAGAGTCATTACAAATCGTCTCGCACGCAGACTCGACGACTTCCAGGCTTCCGAACAAGCCGGTTTCCGAAAAGGCTTTAGTACCATAGACCACATACAAAGTGGCAGAGTAAAATCTGCCACTTTGCCTGGCGTATGTGGACTATGAGAATGCCTTTGATTCCGTCGAAATTTGGGCGGTGCTACAGTCTCTTCAGCGGTGCCAAGTTGACTGTCGGTATATCGAAGTGCTGAAGTGTTTGTACAGGAGGGCTACGATGGCAATCCGAGTACAGAACCAGAGTACGAAACCTATCCAACTGCAGAGAGGTGTAAGACAGGGTGACGTTATTTCCCAGAAACTCTTCACCGCTGCATTGGAAGACGTTTTCAAGCTACTGGACTGGAAAGGATACGGTATTAACATCAATGGCGAGTACATCACTCACCTTCGATTTGCCGACGATATAGTCCTTATGGCAGAATCGCTGGAGGACTTAAGCACTATATAGGTGGTCTTAAGATGAACATGGACAAAACAAAGATCATGTTTAATGTCCATGTCACACCTATGCCGGTAGTTGTTGGGAGCACTAAGCACGAAGTTGTTGACGAGTATGTTTACCTGGGACAAATAGTCCGACTAGGTAAGTCCAACTTCGAGAGGTCAATCGACGGATTCAACTCGGCTGGGCAGCGTTTGGGAAATTACGACGCATCTTCTCGTCAGGTACACCTCAAAACCTGAAAACCAAATTGTACAATCAGTGCGTGTTGCCAGTGATGACCTACGGAACCGAGACGTGGTCCTTCACTGCTAGCCGTATGAGGACGCTCAAAGTCGCTCAGCGAGCTATGGAGAGGGCTATGCTCGGAGTTTCTCTGCGTGATAAACTTAGAAATGAGGATATCCGCAGTAGAACCAGAGTGACCGACATAGCCCACCGGATTAGTAAGCTGAAGTGGCAATGGGCCGGCCATATAGCTCGAAGAACCGACAACCGTTCACAAACCGACAACAAAAAGGTTCTCGAGTGGCAGCCTCGTACCAGTAGGCGAAGTGTAGGGCGTGTGGGGCCCCACTAGATGGAGTGACGACCTGGTAAGACATGCAGGAGGTCGATGGATGCAGGTGGCTCAGGATCGTGCTTTGTGGCATACTTTGGGGGAGGCCTATGTTCAGCAGAGGACTTGTGAAGGGCTGTAATGATGATGATGATGAATTCGGTTAAAATCTTACTAAAGACTAGATTCTTACACTCTTGCAGTGAAATGTTTATGCTAATCAATGAAAAAAAAAACTAGTTGATGTTTTCCCAAATTACTTTACTGTCATCTTTTAGAATTTTTAACGTTGTCAAACACTAGCTGTGAAGTAGTGCGCTGTTTCTCCAGGATGTCATATAAAGAAAAAGTAGGTTGTTAATCGACTAAATTATTTATCAATCCTTTCCATTTTTCCTTTCATTTTTATTTAACAAAGGATTGAGAATGCGATGAGCAAATAAAGGAATTAGCAGCGCAAAAATCTAGAAAGGTCTTTATAGTTTATTTAACATAACTACACATTACCTGTTAATATCTTATGCAATAATGTCTTACAGTTGCTGTTTATGTATCAAAGTCGTATAATTTTTTCCAGACCGTGTAATACATCATTACACAAAGCAGTTTTTTGACTTGTTAGTTTGATTAATTTGGTAGGGCCCCAACTAGTGTTAGCCCTGAGCCCCACAAATTCACGGTCCGCCCCTGGTTAATTGGGCAGTAGCGTTCAAACAATATCTTCGTGGAGAGTTTAGTTAATTCATAGACATTAGTTCACAGAGTTTGTTGGAGTATGACGTTTCAAGACTACAGAATTTTTCTGGTTTTCGTTTAAGATGGTTCTAGGATTACGTCAAGAATTAAATGATCCAGTCAGAGAAGTACTAATGGTAGTTGTTAAAGAAGTTAAGAATTTTCATGAGTGCAGCATCTCGAGCAGGTTTAATTTTAGAATTTGAACATTTACTATTATATAAACATTCGTGTTTTAAATCCTCCTGTAACAAATCTATACGTGATATCTTCTGTCCATTTTATTATTGAAACTCAATATAAAACGTATATATTATTGTACGTTTTGGCGCGCAAACGTTGCGTCCTGTCAACTTATGCACTGAACTAAATTCGCTCGTTTTATTGCTCGCATAATTACGATTTTCAAGTAGTTAAGGCATTGGCGTGAATTTTATACAGGATGTTAATGTAAACACCGTTATCCTTGAATCCAGTGGTTTGGTTTCACTTAAATTCAACGAATTTTAAAAAAATAAACGGTATTTTCTTTCATAAAATTTAAAAAGTTTCTGTCCGACACCGTCCGTAAATTCATGGATACCCTATGCGCCCGAGTGACGTAATCACTGTAAAGATCACCGCCCGCGCTAGCTACCTACACAATATTCCAATAAAAACACAATAGATACACATAACCTGTGATGTAACTTTTCCTTCATACGTTCATCCTGGCTTAGGACAGGCAAAAATTGAGGAATTAAGGAAAAATTGAGATTTTACTAAAATAAATGTTGTTACTTTTCATTGTATTTACGTTCTATAAGTGAAACCAAATCACAGGTTTCAAGGATAACGGTGTTTACACTAACAACCTGTATATCACATTCTTATACACGCCACAATCCTACTAATATAGAAAATCAATCTATATGTACATTCCACGATGTGGTATACATTCCTATGGTTTTATTTGTCTACCTTTCTCATGTAGAACATTTGTCCGGAGTAGGCAGATAAAATCGTTATGTCCTCGGGGGCATAGTCCTGAAGAATTAAATAGTTAGCGAGTCCGAGGACCATATCTGCTTCCTTTTGATTAGATTTGCTCGCTGTATCTTCAACATCCTGCAAACAGTATTATAATTTGTGATTTGAGTCGTCAATGGGTAATAACTTACAGTATGTAGGCATCTCTACGGTTTAGGGGATTTTATGTAATTTACACACTTTTAAGTGGAAATAGCCCTCAAATGAACACATCGTTGTTTGGCATCCAAAACTGCGAACCTCAGAAGCAAAATATTTTTTTTATTGAAAGTATACAACTGAACAGACGACCTTATGTATTCATTCATATACAGGGTTACTGGGAATTCGACAACTTGAGCAGGGCAGGGCAGGCAGGGCATGATAGGGGGAGTCAAAATGCTACAAATCTGACCCCATATGTATGACAGAAAATGAACAGTTCTTGAGATATACGGATTTTAAAGATTTTTCTATAATGGCCCAGAATTTGGTGTTAAATTCTAAAAAAAGGAAACCTTAAATTCCTTCTACACTTTGTATCATAAAATGTTACGTACTATTCATATATTCATATATATATATATATATATATATATATATATATATATATATATATATATATATATATATATATAATACTTACGTTTTCTTTATAATCGTGGGTAAAGAAAAATACATTGCTCGTCATTCCTCGTACATCGGGGAAGTTCTCTACAGAGGGATGGTTTTTTAGATCTACATAGATGTGGGGGCTGATGAGAGCGGATATTTCAGGCCGCATTCGGTGTTGTACCTCGAGCCTGCGACTATGGATATTATTCATGATCATGCGCTCGAAAAGAGATACTTCTATATTATAATGTTTGGCAAGCTTCATATGCGCCGCTGATGGCCGTAGTTGCTGATGGTCACCTGCATTCAAAACAATTTAAATTAAAGATATTGTCTGCAACACGAATGGATCGGCTCGACGGGAAAAGCTTGCTAGCTTCGTATCGACGAAAAAATTTTTCGCGACTTTCGGTCTTTTATACACTTTGTCTAAGCACTGATTTCAGCATGTTAATTATTTGTAGTTATTTAAAGCTGTTACGCCTTTTTTGTTTATCGTCGTTTTGTACAAACCTAAAGCTACTTTTTATGTGTGGTAAGACTCAATTTTCCCATAGTAATAAAATTTCCCTATACTTAATTATTAGTTTCATATTGCACTTAGAACCAGATCAGTGTTCAAAAAATATAAGAGTTAGTAGGAATAGTTTACTGACCGCACGCATTGAGAAACACAGCGTAAATGTAACTTTTATGTCCACAATTATTACTTTTAATAAAAATTAAATAGTTATAATTTGCAACTACGTTGAAAAACAATTCGGATCGTCACGATATGTAACCAGATTTAATAGGTAATGAATGGAAAGAATTAAGTATATAAATTTCATATAACCGTCTAAAATTATAAATTTTTAATATTTATGCTAACATCAAAGTATAATATTTATTACTTTTTTATTAAGGTGTAATATTTTCACTTTGAATTAACAAGTTTTGCTTCCTCCAATATTTTTTTCTTGACTGATTTTTGATTATAAACCACATGTAGGTTATTTTAATTAATAAATAATAATAACAATGCCTTATTTCACCAATAATTTTTAACAAATAAATACGTCTCTGGCTCCTATTTCAGGTGAACCCGTATATCAGGAGCCAGTGTATTTCCAAAAAATGAATTTAACACTAATTAAATATTGGCAAAAATAAAAATTCTATTTAATGAAACTAAAATTCTACTGTATAGATGTATGTGTGTGCGTGCGTGCGTGCGTGTGTGTATCTTAGATCATTAAACCCAATGGACTCGCCCCGCATGATTATTCCCCTCTGCGCAGGTATTGGATTTAAAAATCTTGTGCGTTTATAAAAACTATTTACGAAATCGATTTTGTCATTACAAGAATCGTTTCCGTCGTTGTAAGTGCTCTTTGAAAAACGCCAACCTGTGCGCTTAACGTGTGCAGAATGAAGTTCTAATACTTCAAATTTACAAAATTAATGGAGTTACATTCCATATGTAAGTTTTTTTTTTGATATATGCTTTCTTTCTATTATAATAATTTAAAATAATATTATAAATTATAATCGAGAACAATACCGATAAGATAATTAAGTACATAATATTTCATAAAAATCGTAGTGATATTCGAAATGTGGCAAGCACTTCCCACGAGACTAAGTTATATATTTAATTTTTAAAGCCAAAGTCAAAGTTAAAAATTAGGTTTAAAATTGAACACGCAAGCACTCACACAGTACTCCCTACGATACTAGTTTATATTTGCAACATTTAAACAATAAAAGTGTAACGAAACTACTTTACCCTGCAGTGGTCGCGCCTTATAAAAAACGTAAATGGTCGCATGGATTATGTTTGTAGTCAATTTAAAATAAGAAGAAAGCTTGAAAAAATCAACTAAAATGTATTTTTATATTGTTTTAAATATGAAACAGGGTAACATTTAGTCAACGGTTAAACATAATTATTAAACAAACACTATTCATACATCATTTTTATTCAAATTATAATATATAAAAACACTTTTACATATTAATATATGAAAAAATCACATTAATTTCAAAGTTATATCAGTTTGCATATTTTTTTCTAACCATTTGGTTTCAGAAATATCCAAATTTGAGATTATTTTACAGTGGTTGACTAATGTAATCCATGCGACCACTATAGGGTTGTGTTTAATTCAAAATGGTGTCATATTGATGTGTGATTTGACTGTGTTGTGTGGATCGATATCGATAATTTTTCATTATTATTCATTGAAAAAGCATTAAAATCTATCGTCACACACTCAACTAAAGAATATTACCTATTAATATAATAAAAGTGTGAATTAATTGATTAATTTCAAGAAATCATCTGTTGGAGTAAGTCCTTCGAACATAGGTGATTTCATCACATTTTCGCAAAACAGCAATACATAAGCTACACTTCTGCTAAAATGTTAGGCCGCAAGGTGGTCCCATTCATCATTTTCATTTTCAAGTATACATGATTTGCTTTCAGTTTATTAGCCATATAAAATAACACTTGCTCCTGTAATTTTTGGAGCTTTTGGATGTATGACCACTGAATTTGATTTTTATTTTGAATTTTTTTCCATAATGTTGAACAGAACTACGCACTAATTTCAGCATGTGGCAAAGATCAAGAAAAAAATATATATTTGCTGCACTGAAACTGAATTAAAGATAGTAGTTTGCAGTCTGAGTAGAGTGCACCTCTTCCACCATGGCGAGGTTGATCCTTGTTTTTTGTCTTCGTACATTTACATGTTAACACCTATAATTCTATGCCTGTTTCGTGAACAAGATGGAAAGCATGTATTACTAGCCGCAGCCCTCTGCCACTCTTGCTATATGCGTGTAATAATTACCTACAATCGTGAATCACCCAGGGTAACATACGCAGTCGGGCATAGTCGGGTGTTGTAGACGATTGAATGTTTAAGTTTTGTAACGCTATTTAAGTAAATAGTTTTTTGTATATACTCGAAGAAATAGTTTTTGTTTAGTGTTTAGCATATTTAATTGTGGGATAAAATTGTAAAAGTTTTAATGAAATTTAAAAATTATATATAATATGTATACTACCTAATTGATAAATTGTAATGGCAAAACGTCGTTCGTACTATAATTGTTGCATGGATAGATGCTAAATGACCGACAAAAGGTTTCAGATATATCATTCTTTAAGTTAACCAAGGATTTTAGTGGGCAGTTATGAAACGTGAATTTATTACATTTATTTTTTTGTTAGATAGGTACTTATAGCAAAAAAAAGAATTAAGTAATAATTTATCTACAGGAGTAACACCTAAGCACTAAATTACAAACCTTAGTAGAAATTTAATTCACTATCCAAATATCTACTTACATACCTGTACTTGTCTTTTGTAATTAAAATATTTTAAGTTATAATAACACAAAACACTTAAATTAAAACTTTCTTTACTAGCAAGATTTTTAACTGAGTAGAATACGATTTATCACATTTCTGTTAGGAATGAGAAAAGTATTTCCGGTTTATTTGGTGTTTACACTATCTATCTATTTTTTAAGAGCCAAGCATCGCGATTCCCGACGAATGGCCTTGCAATTTGCATGCGTTAGTCATCGAGGTACTTGACCTAAGTCACTTAATTAACATTTCGCAATGTATATTGTTTTAATCTTTATTGACATCCCTTAGTAACAACGGAAAGTCCGTCGTAACGTAGGAAGGGGAAAAGATGCAAAATAATACGGACACTCACGCAGCAATAAAGTTTTATTCAGCTTGCGAGCGCGATTTATGTAATTAATAATAATTATGCAGGCTATTAAACGTCGGCAAGCAGCCAACATCAAAGGAGTGCAACTCCTGTTATACTGTAGTGCTGTTCTTTATTCTGTGCTAGCCGTATTTTGTTTTAATTCAGCCCTTAATCTAACCCTTAATCAAAAAGTTGTCTATATGTACTTTCCATGTTTTGTTTATACCGACCAATAAAAACACTTAAGCGTCAGTAGCTTCATCGAAATTATCGGATATGAAATCAAACCCGTAGTCGACATAGTCATAATTCCTATGGCTGCTAGCACGGTATTCCGTCAATTGCTTAATTTTCATTTCATCCACGACTAAGTTACAATAAATTTTAATATCGAGATTACTCTCCCCTCTCAATTTTAATGCCGTCAGCTATCCTGGTCGGCCATCGATGATACTGTATCACTTAACTAATGTCCGTGGTGCAGGTAAACAGGTGAGTATTAATTAAGTTTCGGGGCGAAACATCATAACTCTGGGGAATATTTAGTTCGGGGTAGTTTTCATGAACGCTTTTGGTATCCAATAGATGGATGGATATATCCATCTCGTAGATTCATAGATTTTCGCAATCAAGCGGAGAAATCAAAAATGGGAAATTTGCATATAGGTACTTAAAACATATTCAAATCATAGCATACCAATAAGAATGAGATGTTGGCAATGTCGCGTCAATGATGTTATTATATGCTGCTCAAGTACTTCAGCAGCTTCCTCTACTATAACTGAAATAAATAAGGCAAGGTAAGTCCATATTAATTATGTTGTTTACGAAATAACTATTAGTTAATCTGTAATATTGTTTCTTTCATTTTGCAAATGTCAAATATAAGATCTAGTTAATAATAGTTGTCATAGTTAATAATAGGTAAAATGTTCTATTAAGTTTTAATAATGTTGAAATAAATAGCTACCTATTGGAGGTGCAATAGATTTCAATAGTTTTCTTAGTCTTGCTGCCCCACTTGTAGTCATGCCAATCACATTTACACCTTTTAACAATTCTTGGTCTAACACCATTCTGGCCTCTTCGTAAGCTGCACTAGCCTCCACAAAAGCTAGCTGCAAATACGTAATAAGTTATTATTTTAAGATAATAATTGTTAGCTATAAACGTATAGTGAAAGTAAAGTATTCCTTAAGACATTCGGGTTTCCTCAGGCTATTTTTCTGCTTCACCAAGCATGCGGTAAATCAGCACTTAAAATAACAATTAAGTTTCATACGTTGGCACAATGAGATTTTGCGTAATTCATTAATAAACCAATTTATATGGAAATTAAATATTTACTGCTTTTTAAAGTATTCTATATTACATTTCATTCATTCATACCATTTTTAAACATGAAAACCATTAGTTCAAGGGCATGTTTTCACGTGCTGATTGAAAGCTATCATAGCCTCTAATGTCAAACCTGTCATCAAATCTTTGTTTTTTTTTTTTCGGGAATTAAAGAAATCGCATAGTGCGAGATCTGGACTGGACTCTTCAGGAGCTATAAATGACTTTGTAATATTCGTGTTAGATGATCGAAGAGCCAATGCAGCCCATTCATACAAATCGCTGATGTATACGTATTCTCATTTCAGTAGAAAGGGATTACGGCATGCAATAAAACATGCGACCAACCCACCTGTGTGCAGTGTGCAGTCGTTTGCCGTAAAATTAACAATAAACCGTTGTGCAAGGCAAACAGGGTGGGTTCCTTATTTTTAATTAACCACGCAATCAATGGTCACCACCATAGAATACTATAATAAACAATAGAATGGCTGCCAACCTATTTTGTATGAGAACCGGTGTTACCGAGAGCACTCATACAAGCGGTTACGTCGTATTATTGCTATTAGTACCGGTTGGCCGAGCTTTGCTCGGTATTTATCGTTCGATTTTTTTTTAATTCCTGTGTTTTGGAAATTATATTTAGATACAAATTACATACTGATGAAATATAAATAATATTTTTTGATCTTAGCGACATAACAGAAAAAACGGAACTGGTTATTTGAATAAAAAATCATGAGTGCAATTATTTTAATTTAAATTTTTGTGTTTTTAAAAAAATACTAAAAAAAAGACTCGAAAAAATAGATTTTCTCAAAAAAAGAAAGGAACTTGAAAAAAAAAAATTAAAAAAAGTCGGTCGGTCGGTCTGGGCTCCAACCGGGGTTTCACGATTCTGTGACCGCCCATTATACCAATTAAGCTATTTATAATCATTAACAATCTGTCAAAATTTACCTTCTTATTCTAACGATATTGTAGCAGTTTTTCATTGCCTAAAAACACGGACAAAAAGACATTTTCTAAAAATAAATCCTAGATTATTATATATACTATTATCCCCGAAACTCCCTGGACACTAAATTTTATGAAAATCGTTGGAGCCGTTTCCGAGATCCCGATTATATATATATACAAGAATTGCTCGTTTAATAGTATAGGACTAGAAACCCAATTGGCTCATTAGTAATAAAAATTTCAATAAATGAATGTTACAAAAGCATTTTGATATTAAATAAAATCAAACTTTGTTCCAAAGGTATTAACAACGGAATCACAACGAACCTTTACAGACCGTCTCTTTCTGGAAAGAAAGAGAAGGAATAAATTTGTTGACAGATTTAGTAAATTTGCACATTTAAACTTTTGATACATGTTCGCAATCATCCTCAAAAAAGGAAATCTTTTAAATTTTAATACAGATTTATTTGTTAATAGTATGAAAACTAATTGCAAATACAAACGCAGTAAGTTTTTTTTTTCTTATGGTAAATAAAAAGTATTCGAACACGTTTAAGATAAGATGCGTAAGAGATAGAGAGAGATAAGACGCATAAGAGAGCCCAACGGCCTCCCCTCGGCCGTTTGGTCTCTCCTGCCGAGGGCTTTCATCTGGTTGGGCTTTTATTTATTTATGTATTTTGTATTTATATTACTTTATTGATATTTATGTATATTTATCTTTTGATTTTCATTTTAATTATATATTTATAGAACCCAACCAGATGAGAAAACTATATAGATACCCCGAATAATAATAATTTAGGCAATTTAAACGTCGGCAATCAGTCAACATCAAAGAAGTGCAATTTCTATACGTAGTACTATTATTTATTCTGTGGTACGGACTACGAGTCTGTGGAGAAAAAGACCTAATTTAACCTTAAATTTTATCATAAAACTAAACAAGTATTAGATTTTTACCAAAGAACAAGACTTTTTCAGGTTAATAATAAGCTTAAATGTAATAAATTTATCTTCTTTCGGTTCTTGATCAAAAACCTAGGCTTTTGACCTGTACTTGATCATAAACCTGCGACATATACATAAATAGAAAACATAATGCAGTGTTTATCAAAAGCGTTTATCAAAATAGAAGTAAAACGATATGTGAAATAAGAATAGAAGAGGAATTGGTTAAGCAAGTGGATGAGTTTGTGTATTTGTGATGGGATGGTAGATATAATAAGTATACAGCACGAGTGAACGCAGGAAATATAGTAAATATGGCCCTTAACTCTAATGTGGCAAGTCAGAATGTGTAAAAAAGGCACTTAAGGCAATTCACAATGCCGTGTTAGTCACCGCCAATGATATTATAAGTAAAAAGGTGTAGATAGGTTGCCTACACAATATTCGATCTTCAAAAACGACACACTAACGCACACATAAATAACTAAATATTGCAATAGCACACTACATTACGATTAGACGTCAAAGTGGGATGGCATGATTAAACTTTCGCAAGCGTAAAAGAGACAAATGCAATTTGCGACAGTGCGTGGTCTTGTGTAGTAGGAATAATGTAGAATAATTAATCAGATATGACATTATACCGTAAACCGTGATTAATGTCTAAAACGCGATTCAATCATGAGTGCAAGTAGTAAAAGTAATAAAATAGTAAAAATGCATTAAAAGTAGGAAAATATTTTTTTTATTGGTTTTATTAAAATTTTATTAGCAAATAAAGTGCTATAATAATTATATATATATATATATATATATATATATATATATATATATATATATATATATATATATATATATACGAACGTATATACCACTCCGTTACGCTACAAAACAAATAAATTAAACTTATTAATTAATAATGACATAGTTAATTTGGGCTTCAATAAAACAAGAAATATATGTACACAATTTGAATTACGATACTCAGAAGAGACCTATCTGTTTTATATTCTTTGATCGGAAACAAATTACTTCCCTTTAAAACTCACTCATTGGGGTATTTTATCCCTCTCTATTTTTTCTGACAATATATTTTAAAATACGTAATTTTTAAATTTGTAAACAATACGAAAATAAATTAAGGAAATAGTAAACGAGTAAACTATGATTCCTTTTGACTTTTGGAAACCTTTCTTGTGTAGTTTGTGTATAATCTCATCACATATGACGACATTTTCGGTGCAAAAACAAAACACGAATTACTATCAACGCCGTTGTCAATGACGCGACGATAGCGCGACGACTGAGCTCAGGTTTGCTAATTAGCCTAGTTTTTACGTGCCACTTGCGGTGCGTGTATAACCTATCTATCTATGTTTCTTGTAATATCATTGGTCACTACCCTTGTGTATGGTAGTGAAAGTAGGGTGTGGCAGAAGAAGCATGAGAGTAGAATAAATGCGGTAGAAATGCGGGCAAGAGTACGGTTAGGGGTGAACCTGAATGGCAAGGTTAGAAATTGTGTGATATGGGAAAAGTGTGGTTTGCAAGATGATGTTGTGACCAAGGCAAGTGACAAAGCAAATTGATGTTGCAGAAATGAACGGATGAGTCGGGAAGGGACGCCCTCTATTAAAGTTTATCGACAAAATTGGCGATATATTGAAGATGGGCTAGAATAAGAGTACACTTAACAGACGAGCATAATATGCTTAGGTAGTAGGTATATGGAAGTAAAAGAGACGAAATGTGACACGATCGTGCCAGTTGGACTACCAATAGTCTCTGCCTACCCTTCTGGATGACAGGCGTGAGTTCTTATGTTATGATCTGTACATAAAGAGCATTACCTGCAGCGGCTCCATGTTTGTCAAGAGATGCGTTTTTACAACATCAGCCCAGTTAAAGTATAAGCACCAGCGTTCTTCGGTTGTCATAAGTGTAGGATTATTTAATTGTAGAGAAACTTTCTTGGCCTGTCGTCGATATGCAGACATTTCCTGAAAGTTTTCAAATAATTAGTTAGCACATTGTAATATGTAGGTATGTTATTTGCGCATTCGTAATAGCATTTGTACGTGTAATTATTATAATATGTGCATTTATAAGTGTAATAGCGATCAAAAGCTCGCCTTTATTCAATTAAAAAGCTTTTCTAGAATTCTATTTATGAATTACATACACACAACAAAAAGCAACCATCACTTACTCTAAAAAGTTGTATATGACATGTTAGCTTATGCATTTCTGCAAAAAGTCCCCTTTTTTGATTCTCCTTTTCTGTTTTATTGTATATTGAATCCAGATTTCTAATTTCTAGAATTGTGTTATCTAACGAAAAAGAGAACGTTATGTGTTCTAGGATTTTATTTATTCCAGGGTCGTTATCGTCGTTTAGATCGTCCAAAAAAGTGTCGTCCCTCTTAAGTATTGGATTATCTTCATCATTTTCCATCAAATTATTTTCTTCCTCTAAATCGTTACGTGTAAATTGCTCAGCGTCATAATTAATATTTTCAAATAACCACTGATGTAAGGGATCTTTGTCACCATTTTTATAAAACTGTTGCAAAAGAATGCTTTCAGGGACGTATCTTTTTACACAATCGTAACTAAGCACATCATTATTTATACGGTGAAAACGTTCTTGCGCATACTTGAGTTCGTTGTGCAATGTTTTTACTTTTGTTCTTTCATCGGTAAACATGTGTCTGCTGTGCTGCTTACAAAACGTATGCCTCAGATTTGCAATGTTATATTTCATCATACGTTCACTTCGAGATTGGCCCCCAATACGTGCGATGGACTCTGTGATAGGCAAAATTGCTTCTAAAAACTGGTCCAAAGCATGGTTTGTGTAACATATCAAAAGTAAAACACATTTGTTTCGATGTTTCTGAAAATTTTGTAACAAGGCCGTTGCAACTTTAACCCCAAGAAAAGTCTTCCCAGTGCCCGGAGGGCCTTGAATAACTGAGAATTCATGGGTAAGAGCCAACTTAAACGCTTCATACTGACTTTCATTTAAGCCTAACTGTTCATTTGACGGCCATGTTTGGTTGTCATCTATGGTAAATAGAATATCTAAAAAATCCTCAGAATTCACTTTGTAGGTTTGACTTGGCGTCAAATAACTTGGAAGTTTTGGCTCTGGCTACAACGTAAAAATAAGGATAGGTATGTGTTTTTACTAAAATTAATTACTTATTTTTAAAGTTTAAAACGTGATACTTACGTCTACACTAACAATGTATTTGCGCATTGCTAAATCATCTGGAAACTTTGGATCTTTTAATGCGTTTAGTACATGATAGTAAGGTTCAAAATAAACTTCACTTTCAATCATTGTGTATGTCTCATTATTGTAACAAATGTCCGCACTAATACCTTCGTTTACTAATGATATCGGTATCTGAATCATAGAAAATAATACAAATTATGTTCCTCTAGGTGTGTATATACAAACAGATTTTGCCTCTGGGTGTCTAGGAAACCTAGAAATTTCCTGGAAGGAAGCGATTAAATTGTAATTATTAGTGTATTGTAGACGAACCGGTACTAAATCGTTACTAGATGATAATGAAGGATGGTACTTATATAGAGAAAAAAAACGAGAATTTTTATTTCTTTCTTTAGTCAGTCATAGCGATATAAAATATAAACGGCAAGAAAACAAATGAAGATCTGATTTTTACAAGCAATTTGGGTTGAATCGAAGCCAAAATACAAAACTGGCTATTTCATTGGCAACCTAACGCATTCCTTCAAATAACAAGAATTTTAAATAACGGCAAGAACGATTCTTCGCTATGTATATTATCTATTGAAGTAATTATCACCTACAATAATTTATTTGAATTTTGTAAGTAACGCACCTTTCCATCTACCATATACTTCACTTCACGATCCAAAATTGTACCAATTAAAAAACTTTTACACCGATCTTTGGTAAATAACACAAGCGAACCATAAATAAAACGCTTGCTGTGGGCCCAATTAATTTTTTTGAACCTTTTGGTAATTTTTTGATCCAGTTGTACGAGGTAACCAAATTTCAGCTGGGAAATGTAAGGTTCCAAAAATTTTACGTTTTGAAAGGTTCTGAAACAGAAAGTATAGGTAAATATACACAATTGATGGCTCGGACGCGCAATGGCTAAGGATTTGGCTGTAGCTATGCGGGACGCGAGCTAAAATTGTGCAGGCTATATAAAATCTTGCACGGTGCAAGATTTTATATAGTCTGCATGTAATGTGATCATGATTTGGATATCTGTCAATGTGGAATTAATATATGTAAAACGCCTGCACGACGCAGCAGAAGTTATACTTATAGAATTGTTGCTTTTATGTTAATTCTAATTATGCGCTAAGTAGTGAAACAAAACACTAGGATGAAACATGCAAGTTTTAGAAACGTATTGTGAGTTACATATGAAGCCCGCCGTGCTGCAGTGTGGCGACTGGCTACACATGATTATCCCATGACGTGTCATAGCTGTAAAAATTTGCTTTCAAAAATTCGAATTACAGTTCAAGCGTCAACATTCTAAAACACTGTCTCGCGCTTGTTCGACCTACTTGCGTTTACCTAATATTTTTCTTTATTTTTCTATGAAACCCATTCAAAGTTAATGTTCTGAAATCTGGTCAATATTTGCTTTTTATCTTTATAACATTTATGTAATTTGATTATAAATAACGTCAAATTTGAAGCAAGATAAGAGTTTTGTAATATTTTACCCATTTTATTACATTAAATCATTAGAAATTGAAATAAAGCAGAGTTACTGGTATAGATGCTTTATTTAGTTCGCATCTGATTAAACTTACGTATTTTAAATTTTAAGAGTTAATATATAAAATATACACCTAGTGCAAGAAATGAATAGTCTTAGACTTATATTCAAAACAAAAGCCCTTTTTTTCCAAAATAGTACAGTCTCAAACAAATAGTTCATAACATAAAAATTTAAACTACTAATAGATTTAAAATGTAAAAATAACAATAGTAATTATTTCCACAACATCCTTTGAGTTTACTATGTCATTACAATAAAAGAAACAGACAACTTCGGAAAACAATTATGCGAACAACCAGTTCCTGTCGTTGCCGCACAGCGACAATGGACATTTAAAATCGGCTTTTCGCGAGCGTAGCGTTTAATGACTCCTCGGGAAGTACGCGATGATATAAAGAAATGCTACTGGAGCACCAGTACCCTCTCAAAATTCAGGATGGCTTTTGTTCTGCAGTGTAATATTTCGAAAGGTCTCTTACGTACAAATCGCCTATGCCTAAAGCTGGAATTTTGAATGTCACCATTGGTGTACACCATGATATGATGTAACCATCTCGTATATAGGCTAGATGTAAAATGTTGTACTTTACAGCTGAAAACATAAATCAGCTAACTGATAGAATGAGGCGTTACTTTGCGGATATCCATTATAATAAAAAAATATTAATTAATTTGCAACCTTCCAGTAACTAAATACAATGATATGTCTTACCTGGATTGAAAAGCACCTCCCGCCCTCCCTCAATTGCGTGCACTAATTCCGTCACCACTAGTCCCAGCACCACTACGCCCAACACCACTACTCCCGGCACCACTACTTCCAACACCACTATTCCAGGTAAGAAACACCATCGACGATAATACGACACGCGTTTCGCATCTACACGAGGCATCCTCAGGTGATGTAGACTCTACGGCGGCTGACCGCTAAGCGGTTTTTAGTTAACGGAAGGTTGCAAATCAATTAATATTTTTTTACATAAATCAGCGTCACAGATACGGGTAGATACGCATTTCGTACTGCGTAGGCCAAGCGAGGTAATTACGACGAATGTTACCTACTAATTGATAAGCATATGGCCAGCATTATATTGAATGTTTTCAGTTTAATAAAGAAGAAAGTCCACAAAACAAAATCAAATCAAAATACAAAAACCACACCAAAACAACTAATGTTAAAAGCACTTACGTACCGGATATTATCGTATTTATGTCTCGAAGGCTCTTTAATATATTGACCTGTAACACAACAAAATAATGCTACGTTTACATACGAAACATTATACAATGAATAAAAAAGTACTAAGGTTGGATAAACATTTTTAGACATTCAACAGTATTTGGGCCGGACCAAAAACCAGTGCTATCACTGAGCAGAAATAGTCAAGAGGTTGGTGCCTACCCAGATATAGCAATAACCCTATGCAGAAATAGTCAAGAGGTTGGTACCTACCCAGATATAGCAATAACCCTATGCAGAAATAGTCAAGAGGTTGGTACCTACCGATATATAGCAATAACCCTATGCAGAAATAGTCAAGAGGTTGGTACCTACCCAGATATAGCAACAACCCCATGCAGAAATAGTCAAGAGGTTGGTACCTACCCAGATATAGCAATAACCCTATGCAGAAATAGTCAAGAGGTTAGCACCTACCCAGATATAGCAACAACCCTATGCAGAAATAGTCAAGAGGTTGGTACCTACCAAAACTTAGCAATAACCCTATAGCCAGACACGATAGAATTTTCCTAATAGATATTTGCATTCTTTGATAGAAAAAAAGATATTAAACATTTTCTTTATATTTAGAACGAACATCATCAATGTGTTACAGCACAATATTATACAATTGTGAGCTCTGGCAGGGATTGAAACTCAAGACCCACGGCGTAGTTCCTCCAATCTCTAACAACGACACCACGCGAAGATTTAGGCTGGTATGCAATGACGACTCTGTTTAGTATAAGACACAAGCCCAAATCTAATCTTATCGCACAAGCATTAAGTCAGACACGAGAAGCTAACCCTTCGTACTAGTGCGTATATTACTAAAACGTGACATAAGACTACTGCTTTGTAACAGTTTAGTACTATCCCACCTTCATTATTGTTACATTGTTTATGGTCCATGCTTATTTAAAAAAAACTGTGAAGAATGTGCAGAGAGTGCAGAACGCATGTATGCGTTTTTGTTTTAATATACCGAAAAGGGATAGGATTTCACCTTATTTGGTCAATAATGGTATTTTAAATATGAGCAATAATACTAAGTTAAAATATGCCTGCTTTCTGCACACTCTGCATCACGCAAAGTCTCCAAGATATCTGTATGATAAGATTTGAAAAAAAAGTTTGCTTTCAGTCAGAAAAAATAGTCATCGGCTTCCACTACCCTGGATCAGACTCGCTGGAGCCAAGGGGTGTTTTACAATTGCCGCTGCTAAAATTTGGAACGATTTGCCACCACCAGTCCGGTCTACCCTATTTCCGTCTACTATCAAAGTTTTAACAAAACAATCTTACGTATTCCTTCACGAAGCGGGCCGAAGCAATCTTCTCGTAGTAACCTGAACTGAACATCTAAGTAGTGTTCTATATCTTTGTAGGCGCCATCAACAATGTTCGGACGGACGAACGGTCGTCGCTCTAGGAGATCATCACAAGTTGGTATTACGCTAAGATCCCGGAAGTTTTCAGGTGGATCGGATTCTTCTTTTTCCACAAAAAACCTTTTAGTCTTTTGTTTTACCTTTAAGGGAATAAAAAAATCATGATAGGCAATAAAAACTGCAAAATTCGAGTGTGCACACTTCAATTGCTGTGATAGTGAACAATAAAAATGGATTGTTACGTCATTGGAACCTTGTGGTGGCAGCAGCGGTGTAATTTGGAAGCGGCCTAAGGAAATCCATCATCCCAGCATAAGGGTCGTAAGAGGCGACCATAATAAATGTCGCAAAATTTCATGGAATGGCGGTATAAGCATTTATTCTTGTTCCTTTTATTCATCAGCCCGTGAAAGACCCCAGTTGGACATAGGCCTCTCCATAGAATACTATAATACAAAATAGAATGGCTGTCAACCTTACTTTGTAGGAGGATTGGCGTCGCCGGGAGCACACATACAAGCAATTACGTCGTATTATCAGTTATCACTACTACAAACACATATTAGACTTTTGATTAATGTTTTTGACACATAAATGTTAATGATTTCTTAAAATAATAGTTTAATATTTAATATAATAGTTTTATTCAACATAAATGTTTCTTTATTTTTGTTTCTAATATTCAGAAAATGTAAATAGTTTCAACCTACTGGTTGTAGAACATGATTATTTAAATTCCATTTCCCGCTGTTCTTTCGACACGTAATTATTGCACAATTTGCCATTATTCAAATAATTTGCATGCAGCGACGCTTGAAACGAAAATTTAAAACGATTCATTGTATTGACATTTATACGTGTGAATTGACGTGTTAGTGACATGTTAGTGGCTACACGGGCACCGCCCACTCCCCCGTTCTATTATGTATGTATTATAGTATTCTATGGGCCTCTCCCACTTTAAGGAGGATGCCGTTTGGTGGCTGCGTAAGATAATCACTCAATTCAGTTTTTGCCAAATGTAAATACCCAAACTGGAGAGAGAAACTGAAATAAATGCAAGAAGGCCTTATTCGGCAGTGGACTGTTAAGAGCTGATGATGTTCTTCGCACCGAAGTGACTTAAGTAAAAAAGTAAAGTTACAGCCCATATACGTCCCACTGCTGGGCACAGGCCTCCCATCATGTGTGTCGGCTGGGATCGAACCCAGGTTACTCGCGTTCTGTTATATTTACAGCGAGTGTTAACCATCTGAGCTACCACGGCTCCTACCTAAGTTACTTACCAAAGATAAAATATTGCAAGTGCAAACAGGACGCAGACAATACATTTATATTCAATACCAAATTATCCGTTTTAAATCAGTAGCTGGCCCGCAGACAATGTTCTGCCGTTTCCGGTGGGTGATGCGATGAGTTCAACTTTAATTTACTCTATACTTTACTGTGTAAATATAAAATTTATTTATAACTGGACCAACAGCCATAGCGTCGGGTGGAGCTTTCATAATTTTCTTTTTGGGATATATGGCATCAGTATTGATGCCATATAGGAGCTGATGCTGCTAGCAGCTTTGAACTCAATGAAAAGACTTGCTAAAAGAATCAATATGATTACAACCATCTTACCAGCCACAAAAGCTATACCAGCCATAGGCGTAAAGTGGCCAACCTTTCGGCTTTCATCATCATCAGACCACCGGACGCTCAGCTGGTCTCCCTTTGATGTCGACATACCACGCATTCGTTCATAATGCATATAGAAAAGGAGTTAAATAATATGCCAGCATGGCTTTCTATCTAATTGTAAAGTGGGTCTCTTCAAGACAATAGTGAATATGCTTTCGTAAAGCTAAATCAATGTGATTAACCATCTTCGGCTAAATCACCACTTACTATCAAGAGGGATAGAAGAAAAGCGCTGGCTTATAAAATAAAAACTCGACTATTAGCTCATCCTGCCGAATAGTATATCTACGAACAAAAGCCTCGAAAAAAATATTTTTTAATAATATAAATAATATATAATTAATATTTTGCCAGATTTTGTTCGCGCTGTGTCTATTCTAGTACGTAGTACAAATTACTTCAATGCGCGAATGTAACCTTAATCGGCCAAGTCATTTAAAAGTTTCACACTCACTAACAGATGCACACTAATTATTTTATATAAGGCTGTTCCAAAACATGGTATCAATCAGAAGCCGAGAAAAGGAACACCACTCGCGGTACCCGAATCGACCCCATGTATATGTATGTCCGCCATTTTTCATAGTTTTGTAAAAATTTAGAAAAGAAAACAACTCAACAAAACTATGAAAAATGGCGGACATATTTGAGAATTATCAACCTGAACAATTTAAAAAAAGTTAAAAAAGTAGAAGGCTTTTTCGATAACTTTTTTGTAGTTAAATCGTTATGAGCTGTACTTTTATACTTAAATCTATATATCTTATTATATATAAATTACGCGTCACGTTGTTTGTCCGCGATGTACTCCTAAACTACTTAACCGATTTTAATCAAATTTGCACACTGTATGCAGTTTGGTCCAACTTGAGAGATAGGATAGTTTTTTGCCCATGAGTGAGTGACATGAAAAAGGGTCGTCGAAAAGGGCAGAACAACATGTGGCAAGCTAGTATACGTATATATATAAAAACATTTTGAGAGGCCATTTTCAAGCAAACTATAGGATTATTAACAAGAAGCTATATTTTACAATACTATCATTGACTCAATTGTTTGTATTTTAAGGTCATTGTTTTCAATTATACAAAATGTCCGATATAAAATACAACATACCTCATCACTTTGTTCTTGTAGTGTTAATCTCTCTCGAAGTTCATTCCACTTTTTAATGTTCTCCTCGGGCAGTCTAAAATTATGACGTTCATTTAAACCGTCCAAACAAAATTTCGTTGTACCCTCTATTAGTGATCGGCATTTACGTAGCGCTGTCGAAGGTGAAGCATTAGTGAGGCTCTCGCAGAAAAATAAAAAGTTATTCCAAAATTCAGCTTGATTGTTCCAATATAACATATTTGCAGACTTTCGGCTTTCATATGGTAAATTCATTAAGTAACCTTGCAAATTTACCAAGAATTGCGATTCACACACTTCAATTAGAATTTTTAATTTTAGACTGTCAAACGACGACTGGCAAACTTTCGATAGAATCTCCATCATGAGAGCAAATACGTCAGGTCTATTTATCGGTGATTCTATAAAATCAAGAAAAGCATCTCTCTTTTCGGTGATTTTCAAAATAATATCACTGCTATGTGTACGCGCAAATTCTTCTAAGGTTTTAAACCCCATAATTCTCTTCTTATTACGATTTGTTGCATGAATTGCGAGTGGTAATTGAAACTCCTGATTGCATACTGAAGCTTCCTTTTTGTCTTGACTTTTTAAAGTACCTGAAATATACATACCAGTTTTCATCTTATTTTGAAGAAGTTATAGAAAACATTAATTAAGTTATTTACGCGGTAGTCATGCTGAAGCTATATTAGTAGCATAGTTGTAGCACGATTGGGGTGCTCGACTGGGTGAGGACCACGCTCTCACAGAATACCAGCGTAAAACAGCAGCTTAACGACACTACCGGAGACCCTTCTTACTGGAAACTGGGCATTCCATCTTAGTCCTCACGGCTGACAACGCATTTTGATTCGTAATCGATGGATGTAGATGTCTATAGGCCACAGTAACTACTTACCATCAGGTGGACTGCGTGCTCGTTTAATACACTTATCCTACTAAAAAAAAAGCTTTAACGATCGAAATATTATCAAAAAAGGATGAGAGGTAGTAGGACTCTCGGCCTAATGGCTTCAAATAACTTAATTATATATCCTTATCATGTAAAGAATGTTCAAAACATTGTGAACCTCTCTGCTGAGCGAACAGTAGAAACATTATGTGGTGCTTATACTGCTCACGTTGCATCATGTTTGAGCATCTTATTATTGTCAGTGTTAACAGACTCCCATGTTCAAGGTATACATTTGAAAAATTAAGGAAGAAGTTTTAGTCAAGTGTTATATACGAATCGAAATATCTTGTAATAAGTGGTCACTAATATCAATCTTCTGGAAGCTTCTTCCATCAGTACTAACTAAATTTAGCTTATTAAGATTACTTATTCTTTGACGCGACACGCATTGTTGAGTGTAGCACAACTTGTATTAATTGTATATTTACAGGTGTCAAGTCAATCATTATATTAATAATTGAGAGACTAAGATATAAATCACTGTAGACTCATTACCTAATGTGCAAAAAGAAAAGGAAAATGAGCAAGTTATGTTTCTTTTAATTATAATTCAGAACGTCTGGTCTGGTTTGGTTAAGAAGTAAATTGGTAAATAGCTTCCAATGACTACTTACAAGAACAATGCTGACTACTACTTAATAGAAATTAGAATTGTTTAAAATTAAACGGTAGGTTGTTTGTTAAAATAGGAATGCGTGTAAAAACACAGTCTTTTACTTGTCTTCTGTTAAAATTGTGACATTTCATGCAAAACATCTAAAATGCGAGTCCATCGGGCTACAGCTATTATAGCTCTTTCTTTTTTAGTCAAAGTATTGCAAGCCCAGATTTTTTTTTTGGCAATTATATTGGAAATTCAACATAACCTTAAAGCTTCAATGATCCAGAAACTAATCCGCAGGTGGCAAATGCATTCCGGTGCATGTTACATAAAAGTCCCGCTCGGAGTCCGCGTTGGAAAAGCGTCCGGAGACCAGTGTGATAGCAAAGGCGACCAGTTTTTATTTTCCATATAGATTGGAAGATCAAGCATGTTCATGGTTAATCAAGCGTAATTTTGCTGTTAGTTGGTTGATGAAGTACTTCTGCTGTTATTAGATTATGGTTAAGGAAGAACTCAAACATTTGGAGAATATGATTATCGTTCATATTAAAACCTCTTTTGAGAGGGCGTAACCGATTCGCATCGAAAACTTCATGTTTTAGGATTGTTTAAAGGGTAGTATCGTAACGATGTGATCAGATTTTTTGCAATAAATTATATTTTTAATAACGGTTTTGCCAAGTTCGAAAGTGATCGCAGGAATTGCATGCTTTAATTCCTCCCTCTCCTTTCTACCATCAGATAACCAGGTAGTCGACGGATCTTCACACCTTCGTTGTCAAAGTTTATTATTTAGATGTTATTATTAGAACAAAACGCTTTGTTTTGTCTTTTGTAATGCGTACATCAAAGGAGTGGAATAATTTTCTGGCATTTATCTTTCCATCCAAAACAATCTGGGCGTCTTCAAGACAAGAGTGAAGGCTTTTGTAATGCTAAGACAGTGCAATCTATATGGAAAATAAAAAGTGGTCGCCTTTGCTGTCAGAAAGGTGCAAGAGGTACTCCTAAGATCGTCCATGTGGATCGACTGACGCATTATTATGGGACGAGCATGTCTTAGGAAGGGGCAGTGTTGTGCGCCATAATTAATGCCTAGTACGATCTAATATCGAGAAGCAGAACTAAGCTTTCTAGAAAATTCCATACTAGAACTTTCTACATCTAGTCGGTCGGGACTGGTATGTGTTCGAACATTGTAGATGTTTCAGTGAAAAAGGCCCTATATAAGGCCAGTAATCACCGTGACAGAGTCTGCGCCCTCCTTTCTGCCAAGGAGGGTCGCGTTCGTATACGGCTTAGTCGTTACGTTCCTAAAAGGTTGGGTTTAGTGGGTAAAAGTCACCACATAACCACGCAGCCGACTGCGTGATATGCTATGAGCATTCCCAACCTCCCTCCCCCGCTTTCCGGAGGGTTGCCCATATTTGCTTCGGGCGCAAAAAAAAAAAGAAAAAAAGTGACAGAGTCAGTATAGAATTGGCAGTTCAAGCGAATACTTCGAAGCGATATAATTGCGAATTGTGTTTTATTATTTCTGCGTTTTAAGTTGTAATTGGTGTTCGGTAATTAACGTGTCAATTTTTGTAATTCAATCAGCAGTTTTTATTGTCACATACCCCAAGCTCGTAACAAAACTTAAAACATGCTAGTTTGCTGAGTTTTTGATTTTATAAGAACTTTCAGTGTCCCCCTCGTGTGTGACATAAATGGCGGTAACTTTTTATTGCGTTGACTTAGAAGTTTAAATTTTTTTGCACCTTCAATAAAACTCAGACCTAAGGTTTTGATATTAGTTTTAACTTGATACCTCTCTTGCTCTATATAAAAATGGTCTGTACGAACTGACAACAAAGTGTTTCCTATATGGGTTATTTTTTTTTTCTTTTAAGGTACAGGTGTGAATTTCGCCATTATGCATTGCAATAGCACTGTATGCTAATTGCTCCATAACTTTCTCAGAAATTAAAGGAGGCCTGTGCCCAGCAGTGGATATAGTCTGTATTTTTTTTTTTCGCGAAAAAATTTGTTGATTTTAAAATTCTTAACATTTTGGGATATTTACCCCGTCCTCGTCCACGTTCTTGTCCTCGTCCTTGTCCTCGTCCTTGTCCTCGTCCTTGTTCCCGTCCTTGTTCCCGTCCTTGTCCGTTGTATGTTCCCGGCGCTGTTCTTGTCCTTGTCCTCGTTCACGTCCTTGTTCCCGTCCTTGTCCATGTTCCCGGCGCTGTCCTTGCCCATGTCCTCGTTCACGTCCTTGTTCCAGTCCTTGTCCAAGTTCCCGGCGCTGTCCTTGCCCATGTCCTCGTCCACGTCCTTGTCCTCGTCCTTGTCCTTGTCCTTGTCCTTGTACTTGTCCTCGTTCTCTTTCTCGTACTCGTGATGATATAATTTGGTTGCTTTTACCGCGTTTAGTCGAAGTACCCGACGTTGATGGCCCTTTAAAAATTAAAAATATTATAATATTATTATAAAACTAATAGGTTTATCATTTTTGATGTCATTATTTCACTTTAAGACCATTACATTAAGAATCATTCGCATATGCGTACTGGACAAAATATAGTGTTTCAAATTATCTAAAATTTTAGGATGAGAATATAAATAAATGCCAATGACGCCAGAGGCCATATAAGCACACCATGCACTTCTTATGAAAAAATATCTATTTATCTGCTAAGAAATATACCGAACTCCGCTAATATGTGTCCTGGCACGTCACAGTACGGACTTGTACGCACAAGCCACGGCACGTACATAACGACAGTTCCTAACTCCCAACGCCGCACTCCGCAATCACTTTTGTTTTTGACTTAGTTGAATTTCAGTAAAATGTTGCTAGCAGTCTTTTACATGCCTTAAGCGCAAAGTGCATAGGTATGTTCTACTATCGCCTAAAAATCAAGAATCCAAGGTTTTGTCGCATGAAAGCCGTGGGAGGTGTAGTTAGTTAGTTAGTTCCGGAGTGTAATGACGTTATTAAATACCATCTGGACGACTGGCGGTCGACCACCGTGCGATTTTAAAGAAGTTTTCTTCCTGGCACAACTTCCTTGTGGAATCAACTTCCACCAGATTTTTCCGGATCAATGTGACTTAGGGATATTCAAGAAAAGAGCCTACTCCTTTTTAATAGGCCGGCAACGCATCTGCAATTCCCCTGGTGTTGCAGTTGTTCATGGGCGGCGGTAGTCACTTATCATCTGGTGAGGCGTATGCTCGTTTCCTCCCCCCCTCCTATAAAAAAACTGCCAACGCGCTCCCCGTGTCAGCCAGCCTGCGTCCGTCGCCGCATCCGCCCCGTTCCCCCATGCCCACTATAGAAACTCAAATGAAGACTATGTTTTGAGTACGTCGCGCCGCACTCGCCCCGCACCCTCTTTGAACCCGATCGTGTGGAAAGCTGTCAGCCGATAAGAGCGCCTCCGCCTCAGTGCGCGCTTTGCAGTCGTCGCGGGGTATATTAATCATGTTTGCGGGCGCACGTTACCACAATTTCAAGTAATTCATTAACCTTTTGAGCGCCAAGCCAAAAACGCATCACCGTGTCCTGTACGCCAAAGCGAAAAGTAAACAAAAATACCCTTGAAAAAAATAGTGTTGCCAAGAGTTGATGTATCGATAATACAAAATAATTTGATTTTGTTGGTTTTTTATGCAATAAATGACTCTTTATAATCTGGTATGTTTTATTTAATCTTGTGCTGTCTTCCACTCTTTTTATATATGTACTTTGTACATAAATAAAAAACAAACAATAACAATAAAATAGTAGTAAACCACAGCACTACCCTCCATCGTGATGACGTCACTGTCACGTCAGGACGACAACGGCGTAGCTGACCTTCCTTTTTGAAACTTTCTTAAAGATGTAGCCGTGTCGCATGTTGTGTATCGATTTCAAAATCGATCTAACCAAAATATACAGAGATCGACTCAAAATATTTTATGTGTCGTGGAAGGTGTAGGCCAAGTGAAGCACAGAAGAAAAGTCTTTCAATACGCTCTTATGACAATGGGGGTTTGATATGATGCTGATGCTACCAGATGATTTTGAGATTGAGAAAGAAAATCGCACAACACAAAATAAAAAATTGCTCTTCATATCTTAAGTAATTTAAATATATAAAGTTTTATATTATTAAAATTATATATAAAATTTTATATTATTAAAATTGTATATAAAATTTTATATTATTAAAATAAAAAAAATCATCATCATCCACGCTTTCCAAAATGCGAATGAGTTCTGAGGAATCGTTCATGTTGCACTGCACTACTTTTTCCGCTAATCACTTATGATGACGTCATCAGGGTGTCTTCTATCCTTGACCACGGCGCCCAATGAACTGATTTTCCATGACGCGCTAAGGATGCGCCAGAGTTGAGATATTAGATTTATTATGCTAAGATGATTTGATAACATTTTTTTATTCATGTAGCTAATTATTATAGTTTTATGTTTTTAACCTTTTGTTTTATTCAAATATCAATAATAATAGAAGAAAAAAAACACGTTTGAGCTGAATTTTGAATAATTTTCAAGAAATCGACAAGAGCGTTCGACACTAGCGGTCAATCATAGACGACTCTGGCGTGCTGGACATAGTATTTGCTTACATAAAAATCCATTTTTTTTAGTTCAATGTTTCTCTCTTTCTCTAGGAGACTTGTTTTGTATACTCACATGTTGCTGGGTTATTCTCTTTTGAGGAGTGTAGAATTAAAATACCAGTAATAATCTTCCAATATATATATATCATATTTTTGTTCGCTAGGTTTTTTGTCAACTATAGACGTCGTTGGCGCTTTGGCGCTCTAAAGGTTAAAAGTGTCTTGATCCATTCTTAGAAAATTTCGAGACTTCAGAATCAAGAATCCTTAAAATATTGAGATGGTTCAAAGCAGTTCGCTTTTTTAGCCACAATTTCATCCACTTTCTTTTTTCCTTTGTTTTTCTTCTTCACTCAAGTATAAAAAAGTTATTGCCAAAACGATCTTGTTGCTTTGAAAGACAAGGAGCCATATTTAGCTAATTCTGAACTGAACTGACAAATCGAATCAATCACCCGACAGTGTAGAACGAATACAAAAATCGGTAAACCCGACCAAGGACACGATGGTCGGCGGTTGGTCCAGATCGTGTAGAAGGCCTTTTAATTATAATGTGAAGTGTCGTTCTTACGTCAAGTGTTGTTTGTGATTTAGTTTCTTTAAGCCGTTTGTTCAGGCGCACTGTGAGACCTCACGTGTACTAGTATTGTTGCACGAGGACGTGAGTGCGTCCTCGTTCACAACAAGGTGAATAGTGCACGTTTACATGTGGGCTTTTACGGGTTGTTAAAGAATAAGAAAGCATGTCAAGAAAGTAACAAAGAAGTTAATGCGGAAAGGGTGTCAAGAAGTAGAACACGATTTCAGCGCCACTTGCACTGAACCTAATATTCTATCTGTCATTGTTGATATAGATTAGTACAAAAATGTTTCCTACCTTCAAAATGGTATAGTCCATCTTCATCCATTTTTAGCAGGTTTCCTTTACAAATTCCGCATTAAATCTGGAAAATCGTGTATATTGATTATTGAACATTGCGCTACTTTAACTCACCACATTTATTATGGTTTAGTTTTAGGTGTTCTCATTACAACATAACCATGGAAAAATATCTATTATTGCAAACACCCCTTAGTAAAAAGATTTACCTTTTATTGTTAAAACTTCATACCAATGGGCCTGACAGTTTTGGGAACTTCTTTTTTTACTCTTTCCTATACTATAAGTCTTCCTTTCTATCCTGACCAGCTCTCCTATACAAAATTTCTTTTTCTTCCAAAAAAGTCTCTTTTAATTGTTTAGTGATTTAATAATACCTAACAATAATATAATTTACTGTAATGTACACAGGTATGTATATGTTCCACAGACGGAGCATATACAAAGAGGAGACAGACTAAGCAACTGTGCACTGTGATTCTAACTAGGTCCTGACGTCATCACAGTGGGCGTGGCTTTAGTTAGTATACTGTCAGCGTTCTTCCTGTGCGCTTATGTGTCGAAAATCGCAAATCGGTTTATTTTCGTAGTTTTAAGAAGAAAAGGATGAAGTGTTGTGTTTTATTATGTAAAAACTACTTAGATAAATGCTCTGATGCTATGGATGGTATCACATTTCATTTTTAAGTATTTTTATAACTAAATTATTAAAATAGTTCTAGAAAAATCTCTTTGCGTCGGCTTTCAAATATAATTAAATATATTCGACACTAGATGGCGACACTTTGTGTCATGGGAACTAAAAATATAAAGGTAGGTACCTAGGACTCAGTATTGGTAAAATATTCATATGTAGGTGCTGAAATGTGTTTTGCATTCAGTCCTAAAGAATTTTTAATCGCCAAATATTATTATTGTAGTTTTTATAATTATTTTGAGAACAGTCGGCCATCTACCGTCAAGTAAAAGAACAATGAAAAATAACACAAAGACAGGGCCGTAATTAGAATTCAATTATTTTACCAAGTAGTATATACAACACGTAACATAACCAACGCACTTTGAGAAAGTAGTTTGTTCAGAATCGTTTACTGAATCAATTCCTGTCATTTTTAATATAGGTAATTTTTTTATCCCAAAAATAAATAAAAACTACGTAAATTGCAGTCACACTAAATCTGTACAGTCAAAACAAACTTAAGGCAATAAGACTTAAGAGTGTAGTTTTATTTGTATTATTACTAATTCTGTCATTCAATAAAAGTAAAGTAACGCCGCACCCTGCCTCTCGCTCCCCACCACACCTGACAGTTATTGCATCATCTAGTACTGAGCAAATTGCAGGCACATGCTTATGTTTTGACTATTTTTGTAATAAAAAAAGTATTTCGGTGTTTTATTCCTAGTGAAAATTGATAATTATATGATATAAATAAGCGGCAGGAGATTTACTATTTAGGCTTACTTTAGAGAAACTGACGACCAAAGTAAAGAAAATGTACTAATGTAATGTAATGTTTCTTTGTTTGATTCCAAAAACATTTTATCAAGTTTCTATTTGCCATAATCGGAAATAAATCTATAGTGCCTCAAAAACATAAATGTATAGATTTAAATGCATTTAGGGCACTCTAGAGTAAGTAGATTTAACCCATAAATAAAATACGCTTTCAACAGTAAAAGACATAGCATTACTCAATTCGTACATTTCAATACATTGGACACTATGAAAACGAATATTCGTCGATTTAGCCGAATATTCGGCCGAATACGAATATTCGGTAAAGCTGCCGAATATGCCGAATACCGAATATAAAACGAATATTCGGCCCATCTCTAATTTCAAGCAGGTTAAAGTCTTTGCGTTCGTGGATTTGTACTGTGACCACAACATTCTTCCGGAATTAGTATAACTACATGTAATTTGATAAATAATCAGTGCTTAAAAATGCTTAACTAAAAATTCAGTGTATGTATTATGATTATAACATAATATACTAATTGGGGTGTCTGAGGATGTGCGTTAATTACATTATATATCGATGCAATTACCGTGGGTTACTAAGTACTACTATCTTGAAAGTATTTTAAATATTAAAATGAAAGAAATTGTACCTAGGTTGATTTTTACGATATGTTTAACTTATACATATCTAAGTGACATTCTACATGTAAATAAACACTTAAATACAATTCAAATATGTTTAGCATTTCGTAAAAGTCAACCTTCGAGAAATATTCAGTTTATCTTTAGTAAAATAGTCTCCTTGAAACTAAATATTCTATGTAAAATATTCATAGTCTCTTTGAAACTTTTCTTTCGCAATATGATTATTATAACAGTTGTAGGTCAGTTAATTAAAAAGCTCACCTAGATTATTTTATTCTTGTAAATCTAGATATATCGGTTCGTTTGGACTTTGGATGCAGTTTGTATTTTACTAGTTTTAATTATTTTGGTAGAATGAGTTAATTTCATATTGTTGTTTTATTCTTTATATTACAGCTTAAAAGAAAATTACCAGAGCCTTCAATACCATCACCCAGGCCTATCACAAGAGATTTAAATGATTTTTGATATTTCATGATTCCCCTAAAAAGAAGAACCTAAAGCGAGAAATAGAACAACTTCGATGGAGAGCGAAAAAAGATGGGCTAAAGGTCAGAAGACTTCAAATGAAAATTAAACGTTTGAAAAAGAAGGACGGATGCCTAATTTAAAATAAAATAATTAGATTTTAATTAATTTGATAAATAAAACTATATTAATTACAATAATTTGTCTATTTGTTCTCCCTCAGAAATATTAAGTAGTATACCGACACATACTCAATAGTCCAGCCGTTTCAGCTTGAAAAAATAACACATACACAGTACATACTGAGCGTGGGATAAGGTCAAGGAGAAAAGAAGAACACACAAACTTTTGCTTTTATAATATTAGTGAGATTTGTAGGATCATAGTTATAGTAGGAGTGGGATTTTCATAATAACATCGGTATTTAAATAAAAAAAATAGACGTAAGTATCAAGATGATCTTGAAAAAAATACTCCCTGGTACAAAATTTCTGAGTAAGTCCCCTTACATCCTACACCAAACGTAAGGTAGCTAAACTACATTGCAACATCGATATGGAACTATGCGAGTAGTTTTACTATTTATCGGTAGATGGAAAATAGTTAAGTGGGCGGGACTTAACACCCTATCATACCGCAAATTATCACGCGTCGTTACATAGTGAAATCTAATTACAACACCTCCTCTTTGTATTTGCTCCGTGGTTCCACAACTGGCGTGCGTACATTTTGCACAAGCGATCCACCCCGGCTTCGTCTGGATCTATTAAGAGGGCATATGCGTTTCGCGTCGAAAACTACATGTTTTATGGTTTTTCCAAAGGCGATATCGTAACGACGTGAGGAGATTATTTGCTGAAATAACCTCCTCGGGCTTTAGAAAGATAAAGTCTTTATTTAGTACATAGCAATGCAAAAGAAAGATGTTTTTAATGACGGTTTTTTAGGGCGAAGACAATCCCTTCACAGTGTTTTACGAAAATATGCATCAGAGTTATCTTTCAGGTTGAATACAACCATTATTATAAGCTAAAATACTTTATTTTAAGCGTTATTATAATGGAATATTTATGTCTTTTAGTGTATAGCAAAACCTAAATTACGAAAATATTTCGATTTAATTTTAATATTATAAAATCACCAAAACTGTCTACTTCAATGTAATTTTTTCCATGTATTTGCTTATAAACATATCTATTTTAATTATTTTATCAAAATACATGTAATGTTAAATATACATATAATAAAATTTTTAGCTCGTTTTATTTTGTCAATTATTTTATATAAATATTTTAAAAATACTATAAAACATCATGTGCGGACGCCGATCGATTCTGTACGCTCCGGGTAATCCCAACGACAGGACGTATTACTTTTTCTCACCGACACCGCGCGATCGCGTTGATACACCGATAGGGCTATACTTAACGTGACCAGACGTCCCGTTTTGAACGGGATTGTCCCTTTTTATAGTTACGAGTCCGGGTGTCCCCGAAATGAACTCTGGGACGCAAAATTGTCCCGTTTTCTGAGACCGCGCGAAAATTTGTATTGTTGTTACTAAAAACTTTTTTGAAGATTCCATATCCGAATTATGGCTTTATTTTTTATACGCTCAGTCAGCAAGTTTTCATCAAGCTGTATTGAAACTTAAAATTCAGACTGTATTGACTGGCTATTGAAGCTGCAAAAAAATCAATCAACTAAAAGACAATTTGACTCAGAAACAGACCACTCAGTTTCTTCCATTTACGGTCCGTTAAATAAAAGTGAAATCGAAAGATCCTGTTACTGACATAGATAAAAAATTAGTGAAAAGGGCGGCTTTCTGTAGCTTCATGAAACACGCCGTGAATACCTGGAGCAGTGGACTTGCTTTCTTACCAAAGAAATGGAGATACGAGGGTGGATTGAAAAGTACTCGGCCTAACCAAGAAAATAAACACATACTAAATCAGTTATATTTTTATTTTTCTACATAATCACCATCAAGTTCAATACACTTTTGCCACCTCTCCTTCCAAGCATTTAGACCGTTGAAAAAAAATGATTCTTCCTTAGAGTCAAAATATGCGTCTACAGCTGCTTTGACCTCGTCGTTTGTCGAAAATCTTTGACCTCCCAAGTGCTTTTTTAGGTTAGGGAACAGAAAGAAGTCTGATGGTGCCAGATCAGGTAAATACGGCGGATGCGGTAACAGTTCAAAGCCACAGTTGTGAATTTCAGCCATTGACTGTACTGACGTGTGAACACGGGCGTTATCTTGATGAAACAGGACTTTTCTTCTGAGCATTCCTCGACGTTTTTCTTTTATTTCCTCTCATAAATGACGTAGTAAGGTGCAGTAGTAATCAGAGTTTATAGTCTGACCCCTTTTAAGATAATCAATCATAATCACACCTTTCGAGTCCCAGAATACTGAAGCCATCACCTTATTTGCCGACAAAATC